CCTAAAATCTAACTCAAAAGAAGTCTTGTAAAACTTATTTGTCATGTCTCAATGTCGTGTAGCATTTCTGGCAAACTCTCACGGGCTTCAGAATGCGAAGGCGGAAGATTTCCGATTCAAATTTACTGCATCTGAAAAGACAGAGGAGCGATTACATAATGCCCCAGAAGTGGGAATACAATAATAACCAATTCACTACCAACACATCTGTATGAATACAGCACTTTACATACTAGGACTACTTAGGGCCCTAGTACTACAGGGTCCTGGTAGTACTTAGGGTCCCGGTAGTACCTAGTACTCCCGGGACCACTTGGGGTCCCAGTAGCAGTCAGGTTCGTTCTCAATTCTCAATTGAGAATTCTGGGTTCGAATCCTGGATGGGATAGAAATGGTTGGGCATATTCCCTATCACCTAATGAACCTGTTCACCTAGCAGCAAGTAGATACCTAGGAGTTAGTCACCTTGTTGTAATTACCTAAGTGTAGTTACAGGATGAGAGCTACGCTCATGGTGTTCCGACTTCCCTGTACTCTTTGTCGTATAATGCTCTGAAACTACTGACAGTTTTAGCGTTCACCACCTTCTCACTTAACTTGTTCCAAAATGGGAAGGGGGATGCATTCTGGCGAGGCATGGAGGGTCAGTAATTCGATCTTGGGGAGGGCCTTGATACAAGCCTAACACTTATAAATCCACTGTGGCTGCCTATCCCCCGACACAATGAATTATTATTATTAATAGCTACCATACTAACAAGTATGTAGTCTCTCTCAAGGAATATGGAACTTCACAGAAATCCACAAATTCTTACATACTTGATGCCCCTCTCACTTTAGCCACTTGCTGCCCCTCTTACCAAGTCATCCAACTACTGACCATCCTGTCTCCTTCCCCCTGGCTCTGTACTCCAACAACCAGCATCTTAATTTAATTTCTATACCGTTAACATAATTTTTTTTTACAATGATTTCCATTTATCTTTTCCTGAGTAGTCGCCTCTTTTCTGTGAAAGCAAGTATGGAATAAGAAGGGAATATGAGATGAGAAAGGAGGAGGAGGTGGTGAGGTAATATAGGGAATTAGAAGGGAAGACAAAAGGGGAGGAGAGAGAAGGAAATAGACGAGGTTAGGACAACAAATAGCAGAATAGCAATTACAGAAGTAAAGAAATAACTTAGTACACCCATCATGTTCGATGATTCTCAGGCATTTCACTACCACGTCCATTGCCCGTACTACGTTAGTGTATTACACTCTACCCACTCTACGTTTCATCCCCTCACCACTTTCACTCCTGGACCATTATCAAGCCATTATCACATGTCTTGATAATGGTTCAGGAGAGACTGAAACAGTGTTGTTTCCTTACTTTCTGATGTGTGGTTTGGTCATCAGTAAGAGATGTGACTACCAGATGTGATGTACCAGATGACTACATGCAAGTGTTGGTGCTTATCCTTGCATGTGGCTACTACATCATAGTGTCAAATGAACACATCAAAATAAAGAAATACTGTAATTTGAAAATTACAAATGGACAATCTAAAAAGGAAGTATGTCATGGAAATATAAGTGGTACAAAAGTTGGTAAATCTTAAGATTGTGGAGTGTGCAACAAAATGATGTGTTCATGTTACATGACAACAGACTGGTTTATTTGAGAAACCATAAAGGTAAGAGGAGGAAAGGAACACCAAGGAGATAGGCAAATGAGGGGCCAGATTCACGAAGCAACTACGCAAGTACTTACGAACGTGTACATCTTTCCTCAAGCGGAAAGGCTTTAACCCAAGCCTTTGACAGCTTGGGTTACATTTATTAAACAGTTTACAAGCAAGAAAACTTCCCAATCAACTGTTGTTATTGTTATAAACAGCCTCCTGGTACTTCGGAGCTGATTAATTGTTTAATAATTGTAAACAAAGTCGCCAAACATTGAGAAAAAGATGTACAGGTTCTTAAGTGCTTGCGTAACTGCTTCATTAATCTGGCACGTGGTTAGTGAGTGAGAAAAAAATGTGAATTGGGTACGAGAAGTGTTAGGGAAGACAACTATGTGGCAGCAGGTTGAGTAGAGGAATTAAATGTTTGCATATGAGAACACACAAGAATCACTGCACATTTAATTTAATGAATCAGTAAGGTGTTGCTAGGCTTGATTTGCTTCAGTGTAGTTGTGCTGGTTTTAATATTTCTGCCCTTCTTACTCTACACTGCTCCCAAATAAAATGCATAAGTCTCAAAAATATTTATGTTATCTTAAAAACAAACAATTACTGTACCTCGAACAGAAGAGGTGACCACAGTTGCGACAGTGGTGACGTCTCTCATAGATGCTAAATTTAACTTGACAATTGGCACAACCATCACTGCCATCATCACGAACCCAGTGGTCAGCAACTGCACGCCCCGGCTGGTCAGGTACACTCCATGAAAATACTCTCCCTCTGGCATCTCCGACTAATACTGTTCGGTGATCTCTGTCAAAAACATTATGTGAATGTATGAGTTGCAAGTAGCAATAGCTTGGTTCACCAGGCTGTCATTAGAAAAACTTAAAAGGCCTGTCACAATTATATCACAAATAGATGACAATGAAGCATACAGTAAAATTGTTAATAACATACTACTCTAAACTTACTTAGAAACAGCTAGAGCAGTTACAGATGCTGGCTCTGTGTTGTCTCTTCGATCATAAGCCGTGTGCATTGTCAACTTACTGCGGAACACTAATTGACATGCCCATTTCATTCCTGGAAAATTCAGAATGCAATGCAATTTATATTCCTCCAAAGTAACAGTAGTAATTTAGGAACATGTATAGCTGCAAGGAGAAAATGCCAAGATCAACTAAGCCTTAAGCATACATTCTTTCTTTCTGGAAGAAAGGAAGAATGTACATTTCATTCCCCACTTCTTCTTTTCTAGGCAAGATTGATATGTTGGCCATTTGTCAGGTCCCCATTGTTGCTCAGGCATGATTCCTTGTCCCTCATTCCACCATTCTTTGTGTACAATGGCAATACTGCACCATTTTCTGAAGGCTTCTTGAACTTTGCACACTTCGCTCACTTTATTAACCCTAGCCCCATGAATACTGTGGGAAGTCAAGTTAGCACACGATCTCAGAAGTTTGTAGCTCTCTCTATATTCTTCCTGGCGATCCTGTTTCAAGATCTGTGCTTCAAAATTCTAAAGGCTGAATAGGGAATTTGCTGTCCACTATATCAAACACCATCTGCAGCCTTGGGGCAGTATCCTTCCTTAAGATGCCTGCCTTCACTGACTCCTGTTAACAATTGGTGTCAATGTCTTCATCTTAGGTTCACATTGTGCCATGTGGTCCTTCCACTTTATACTGCTGGCTGGGTAGGTTGCCAATTTTTGTTGTGGTTTTGTAGAATTTATTCTGTAGGGAGTTGACTCAGGGAGCAGCAAAGGGGGTTTTGTTCAGGAAAATGGCAGCAAGTAGTACGAAACGGTACTTTCCAGTCACTGGGTTGCTCTCGTTACTATCCTTGAGATCCCGACTTCCTTAACATGTTTGAGTGGCCCGAGATTTAAGAACAGCCTGACAGATTTCCACACTGTTTTGTAGCTAGTGTTGTCACTTGGCGGTGGTTGGGTTTGGACAATTCACTGACCAGTAATTAACAGAAGGATCACAAGCTGTTCTTGTAATCTCAATGACTAGCAAGGAGATTTAGTGGTTTGTTACTGAATTTTTGTCTTACAACTAACAACTGCTCTGGAGGCAGATTGACGTAACTCTTCAATTCCAAACAGTGGAGCAAAAGTCAACAAGTCTAGCATATGAACAGTGTTCTAATTCAGGCATTGGGTATGGGAGCAACCAAATGGCTGCTCAGAAAGGAGTCTTTTTTACACTGCTCAGTAAAGTACTCTACTTAAAATTCCTTTTAAATGTTATTTTTAATTTTCAGAAAAAACATTAAAACAATTATTTGTTTATTTTTATTTGTACACTGGGATGGATTTTTTTTTACTGGAAACCTTTTATTTAAACTCACCGGGCATGAGAGGATTCCTAGGTAACTTTTTCTTAGGCTCCACAATGACACCTTGTTGGCTTTGGGCTTCCCTCACCTCAGAGTCTGAGATAAGCACAAAGGTATCACTGTCTACCAAACTGGTCTCACTCTTGCTGGTCTGTAGTCTGTGATCGTGCGCCCGCTGAGCGTCACGTGAACCTCCTCTCTCTATGGTGCTGATGGCTCGGGCAACACCTGACATTACAAGATATAAAATATGTACAGTACTCGCATCTTTTCTAGGTGATCCATTTATCATTACTTTTAATGCATTCCATGTTTTTAAAGTACACAATATTAAATATACCATGAAAAACAAGAATGTGATATGACTGAGAAAATAATAGATACGTATGATAGAATCCGCAACCCGGTTCAGGAACGCGGGTTTGATACCGTGATACGGCTTCAATATTTTCTCGCTAAAGCTTCATTTAGTTTGCCAAAGCTAAAACCTTACTTGCAGAACAAAATAATTTGCTTGGAACAGAAATTTAGTCTTCATGAGTAATTTATAATTCTTTAATAATTAGAAATCCTGTAAGATCTATAAGGTGACATAAGAGTGAAATGAGTATTTCTTTACCCTGAGGGTAGTTTGAGCTCCTCCTGAGGACAATATCGTCGTGAGCTTCGAGGGACTGTGAATGGGAGGCCTCTATACTAGGTGTGCTGGTGGTGGAGATGGACACTGCCACCTGCCGATGCAGAGGACGCTTCTCTTTGCTACCTTTATCTGGGCTTAGATCTTGCTCAACCTGGAAATATTTTTTAGAAATTAAATACTAGAGAAGTGTATCTAAACATCCTCTCACATGGGATAAATTATATAATTAACTGGTCTGCATATTTATGTGAAAGAAAATAACATAAATAAAGAATAATATTCAGTAAAGAACACGCATGAATTAATTTTCAGATTCATGCTTCTATAACATTTGCTGCAACAACAATAACAAAAACTGAATTATTAGCAGAAAATCAAAGAAAGGAATATCAGAATTTAATATGCAATTCTGAATGTCCACAGAAATATTCAATCTTTTTTTAAGTATTTTATTTTTATTTTTCCATATTTTTAACTGAATTGCAAAGAAGCAACTCACAAATTATTCAGTTTCAAATATTGTATGACTTGCACATAGTAGTGATGTAGGACTGAGAGAAGTGTACACTCCAAGGGTTACGTGGGGCCAGTCTACTCCTTCAACTGTATTTACCTAGTTGTGCTTGCGAGGGTTGAGCTCTGGCTCTTTCGGCCCGCCTCTCAACTGTAATTTTTTTTTTTTTTTTTTTTTTTTTTTTTTACACACACAAGCCCAGCAGCCCATAGTACCTATTTACTGCTAAGTAACAGGGGCATCAGGGTGAAAGAAACTGCCCATTTCTTTCTGCCATTGCCGTGGATCAATCCCTGGTCCCTAGAGTTACGAGTCTCGAGCGCTGTCCACTCGGCCATGAGGCCTCCTGGTTATACTGTGTTGTGTAGCTGGCGCTTCTCATCTGCTGTGATCCAGTACCAGCTAGTTCAGGGGTGTTAATCAGCTTCATTTGAATGTTAGTGAACAGTTGCTGTGGCATCAAGGCCATCAGATACTTATCAAGTGGGTGCCAAATCACGTGGGAATACAATAATAGGGAATGACATTGCTGATGAACCTGCAAAACGTGCAACTAAGAGAAGAAATAGACACCTTTACATACCACAGAGTCCATCACAGATTATGAAAGTAATTAGATATAGAGCAATGCAGAAGATGTACAGTGACCACAACACAGCAGGTATCAAGAAACAGGCAACAGGAAGAAACAGGAAGGAATAAGAGGTAAGGTGCTCCAGTGGATAAGGAAGTATCTAAACAGGAAACAGTGAGTAACTGAGGGGAGAGACTTCAGAGTGGCGAGATGTCACCATCGGAGTCCCACAGGGCTCTGAATTTGTTCTTCTCACCGGGCATGAGAGGATTCCTTGGTAACTTTTTCTTTATAAAGTTATCCCGGGTAAACCGAGGCTAATGGCTCAATAAGCAACCGAGTGATCACTGAGAAAGTAGCATTTATGCCATTCAATGACAAATACTACTGTTCACATTAAGATTTATAGTAATTGCAAAGCTGAATGTGAATAGTAAGTCCTGCATAAACACACTTCATTTGATTCAAATTTTACCTTTTAATTTGTCCATCTATCTCAACTAGATTCTTCATTCTGACAGCAATTTCAATCACAAACATACAACCACATAGTCAGTTTCTGCCTTTCTTACTTTCAATACATCACTCTGACTTCAAAAGCAAGGAAGACACACCAAACTCTCCATTCAGTCACACTAGTCCACTAATTCTCACTCATCATTCGAATGAATGGATAATTTTAAACCTAACTCAATCTATGAACCATATTCAGTTTCAATAGTGTAGAAAAATCATAATGAATGAGAGACTCACCCCAACTTCTGGCATAATTTCTTCTTGACTGGATGTTAGTTTACTTGGATCAGATGATACAACAGTGTAGGATTCCAAGTCCACAATGCTCACTTCTTCTGCAGCTTCCCCTTTCTCATTTTCTTCTATATCACTCTCTCCTTCTTCAGACAAACTGCTCTCACTAACACTTTTTGTCAATAGTGCTGGAAAGACAGAAATATGCATCACTTTCAAAATCATGCTAAAATTACTTTGAATTAATAAAAAGACATTAGGTAAAAGGAAATGTGTCCAACCACCTCTGTCCTGTTCAGGGATCAAATCCAGGACTCTTGGTTGTGACCCAAGGACAAAGACCAACAGGACCTACGATGGACCGGATAAAACCCGGATCCTCGGTTGTGACCCCGAGGACAAAGACCAACAGGACTTCTCATGGGTCATATAGTTCAGCTGCTCACTTTGTAAAATCCCACCCTCTCCTTGGACATCAGATTATGCAGCTAGGCACAGGTGACACGTACAGCACGGCACTGCAAGTTATTTTCATACATCCTCACAGGGTCCTAATGGAGAAATTGGTCAATCCAGCCTGGAAATAACCATGAGGTCCTGTAGCACAGTGGTCTACATATTTGGGTCACACCCAAGAACCCTGGTTTCAATCCCTGGGCAGGATAAAGATGGTTGGGCAGATAATTGAGCATGTTTCCTTTCACCTAATGCCTCTATTCACCTTGCAGTAAACCAGTACCTATAAGTTAATTTTAAGCAACTGTGGTAGGTTGCATTCTGCAGAAGGTCAATAGTTGGCTAACAGAGACTTCGAAAGGATTTAAGTACTAGCTACCTGTTCCCAACTATGGAAAACTATAAGATCGATCCATAAGAAATGAAAGCCATGCCAAGACATGCCTGGCCAAGCAAGACAGGGAAGTACAGATACCTCAGACACCAACACACACACAAAAACTACCTAGACTTGGTATGAGAAACCTCATTTAATTGTATTTGAAAACTTAAGTACGACCACTCACATCTGCCTGCTAGTCAGGAGAAAAAATTGTCTGAAGCTGCAACCAATTAGCAGTAAAAGATCCAAATTCCAAAAAGATGGGTCCAAGCCCAATACATGGTCTAAGCCCTACAGAAAAAATTATTTAAGGTCTTGCTGAAAACGAGTAGCAGGAAGGCTCCTCCATCCTTAGGCTATCCAAAGTTAACACTTTGGTGGTCTGATCTCTCTACGCATCCCAACCTGGCTAATCAAACAATTCCGGCATGAACCTGCATAATTCCCTCGTGAAACTCACTGAGCAGCTTTGCTAATGTCAAGATATACCACTCTATATACCAAGCATCCAAATGCAAAACATGATCTGCAACACCTACAAGACAACAACCAGGAGCACCACCTCTGACTATAGGCCAGGAAAAAGCCCGAGTGATAGGTCAAGTCCTCAACTATTCCTAATCTGACTCCCTCACAACTCTCAACAAGGCAAAGTGAGGATACCCATAGAAATATAATAAAATATAAAAAGACATCCAGTTTACAAAGATGTGACTTAATGGGTAAGCAAACTCATCACACTCACACCACAAAGGTGAGGAAATAGGTAATTGTGGTCAGTGCACAGGCTCTAATACCTATGACCATGGCCTATGAACTAGAGTACCATGAATAAGTGCTGTCACAGAGTTGAGCTGCTACTGGTCACTGAGACAAACATCCTAAAGAAAAGGCTTGAGACATTTAGGGGACAAAAAGGCTAATCACACATATAAGAGAGCCTAATATGGATATACATAGCCCAAAGCACACAAGATACAATGTTTTAAGATAAAAACACAATTCAAACACAGAAGAACACTGGCCCCACCCTGCAGATGAGACACAACTCTTAACAGTCAGGAAGGATGCATGCAAGCTCAGGACAGTGAAGCCAAGGATGGGCATGGTGATGCCACTTGTGGTCAGGATTCACCAGGCAAATTACTAATTACAACATCAACAAAATAAAACCTTGGAAAAGTTTTATTTTTGTGAATTGGCCTCTGGCAGCCTTTTCCATGTAAGATTGATTAAGTCCTCCAGTGACTCCCTCAGCACAATATGACTGGAGAGGGGGGGGGGGAGTACTTGAAAATTCATGTTACGTACATTAATTTCTTTTGTAGTTTTGACCTGTCCCTTTAAAGAACAGTTCACAATAGTACCAGATTCATCTCTGATCCCTATCTCATAAAGAAGGGCATAAGTCAGTGTACAATAGTACTTGCTGATGGTAGGTGGAGATTGTCAAAGCAGTCTGGCATGTCCAACATGGGCCACAGGGTTCCCATGCCATTATGTAAAAGGGAGCTACTGTCGGGAGTACCCAGAAATTTACAAGTTTATTGTACTTAAAAATATTTGCTCACATCTATACAACTCACCTGGAGGGAAGTCTTCTACAATAGACAAGCGACGAACTACATCATGAGCACGTGCAGAGCAGCCAGGCTGCAGAGGATGGGTTGGCGATCTTCCATTAGGAGATTTAGGGGATTTGGAACCCTTGCTGCTGCCAATTCTATAATTGATTCCTGAGAAAATATTTCAAAACTAGAGGCAACTCCAAGAAAGGATATTTTCATGCCTGATACAACAGTAATCAATTTACTGATAATTTTCCCCTTACTGAGATTGAGTTTGTACTAGTAACGGCTTGACAAAATAAATGATGCCATTTAAACTGCAAATTGGCCATTCAACAATATATTAATAAAGTATACTTTGAACAATAGCATAGAATTAGCCTGTTATAGCTCAAAAACTGTATAACATGAACATTTTCATTGCACACATTATAGGTCTAACAATAACAAAAAAAAATCATGCACTGAAAAGAATAATTTTTTTTTGTTTTTGTATTTTGGGTGATTTCCCCATCTAGGATTAAGGCCAACCCATGACAAGATTGAAGGGCAGACTCCATACACAGTTTCTAATACAGATATGAGAAAGCCCAAATAGATTCAGGAACCTGTACACCAGTTGACTGATGGTTAAACAACTAAAAGGACTAAACAATTTGCATGACTAAACCTTCTGGAGGTTTTTCCAAGCTGAACTGAATGTTCTTCAGTGTCTCCCTAGTACAGTAATGACCCTGTAGGCATTTAAAAGGTTCCTTGTAGTGCAAGTGCCACAATGTTGACCTGATGTGACAGCTCATGATACTGATCTACGGCTTCGGTGGATCTTATTTTCACGAGCAGCGAAGTGCAATAACTTAGAAAATATTTTATACTAAATAATGTGTCATCATTTGGTGACAAAATGTATTGCTCTTTTCTGACACTGAGTAACTAGGGACATTACCTCGAGCATTATCGTTCTTCCCGTCACCGTTTGCGTCACTGTCTGAAGAGGGCTTGTTGTTGTTGACTGCCGATTCATCTGCTGGTACTTGTACGTACTCTACACTCCACATCTAAAATGAAATTTAGTTGTTAAGGGTAAAAATTTTAAAACAAAATTACTTGTGTTTAATTAGGATGAATCTCTGCTGCCCCAAGATAGAACTACACTACTGAATAAAATACTTCATTCATGTTCTTAACATATCATACTAATATTTCCTTCTTTATTACACCATTTCTCATGTGACTATTTTAATTTTCTCACAATCGACTGAAAATATTTAATTGAAGAGTGACTTACTCTAACAACCCCATCTGAGGAACCTGTCATAATAACATTGCTGGCATCCCACTCGTACATAGTAGAAAAGGCCACACATAGGATTTGTTGCAGTGGGGAGTGGGCACCTAATGCCGTGTTGACGGAGGCCACCGGAGTTCCGTTGATACTCCACACATGCAGCCACGTTCCAGCACATGTGGCTATGTCACCCTGAAATAATTGTGAATTAAATTCATTCTGACTAATACTTATGATCAATCATGTCCTGCAACAGCAATTTATCACTACATGTATATATGAATTAGCTTTAATTTTCTTGGATTCATACATTCCCTTGAAATATGACCTCAAACTCTCACAGATGTTTCAAATACAATCAGATATACAGTGTAGACTTTTGAAGGAACAAACATCCTCTGCAAAAGAATTCCACCTGCTAGTTTGGCTATTAAACAAGTACTGTAAATCAGTCATCACCTGTTATAAATAGTATTCATTAGCTCTTTAAGCCTACTACAATGATGCAATGCCATCATTGCCTTTTTACTACTGAACTACTGCATTATTAATTTAAAGCCATCTACTCTTTCGCCATTACTGGTATATTTTGAGTTCGTATTGTAAATTTTAACCTTGGAATATATCCTATCACGTTGAAGCTCAGCATATTTCTGTGGAAGGACTGAAGGCAGGTCCCATGTGTTCTCCAGCCTGCATTAGGGGTCCTGAAGCACACTGGTCTATATCCTTGGCTCAGAAACAAGGGACCAGCCCCAGCAAAAGAGAAACTGTTAGATATGTTTCTATTCACCTGATGCCTTTGTTCACCTTGCACTAAAATAGATACCCTTAACAGTTTGGCAAATGTTATGAGTTGCATCCTGAGCAACGTCAGTAGTTGGCACAAAGGGACCTTAACAAAGGGAATCGTTAACCTTGCTGAACAACCACTACAGTATCCGTGACTACATATGGCAGTTCTGGGGGCAGTTAGGTGGCTACTTCACATGTAGCAAATGTGTGGACTATATAGCAGTGATGTGGCAATTGCACATTTATCAGTTCTGTGGGCTATGTAGTAGTTCTGTGGGCTATTTAGTAGTACTGGTGGGCTATTTAGTAGTACTGGTGGGCTACATAACAGTTTTGTGACTATTGCACATGAAGCAGTTTTGTGACTATTGCACATGAAACAGTTCTGTGGGCACAAGTAGCAGTCCTGGGAGCTATGGCACAAAAAGCAGTTTTGTGGCTACAAGCAGCTGTTCTATGGTCACATAAAGCCCTCTTGAATATATCTGTGTTCTATCTGTGTCTTTCCTTTACCCGTTGTTGACCAAGACCTTCACAGATCTTAGTCCAGATCTGTGAAGATCTTGACTAAGAGAGACAAAGTGGTTGCTCTTTTTCATACTAATGACACTTTTCTCTGGCAACTTCCCCACGGCACCATTTTGGGGGTCCACTAAGACTTTGTCAGCTTCATACTGGCCAATAAAGTATTATTTTTCATTTCTAGTCTTGGTGTTTTCTTACATAAAGGATTTGCTTTTTTGTTTGATTTATTCTACTGTGTCAAGCTTTTCAAGTGTATATTCTCGTTGGATAAATATTGAGGTCATGCAATACTGCATTCCTGAACTCCTCAGGCACATACATTACTGACTGGACGTCAATATTAATTCATAGATTCATCACGTTCTTATGACCTCATTGTGTTTATTCTCATTCTTTTCACATGTTTATGCTCCCAACCCGAGGAAGTTGTGGCTGCTTCATCATGTGTGATAACCAAACCAACTCGTGAAATACTTCAGAAAATGCTTCAGGTGCTCTTTCAATACATAATAGTAGTTAAAATGTCTGGAGAAGAGTCTACTGTATATGAGAATTTCAGGAAAGGAAGTTTCCCTGTAGAGCAAGCACCAGAAATTTAAAAATGCAGTATTGATAAATAAATATGGAAGACAAATGTAGATTTTCTGTGAGAGATTCAGTAAATCAGAGACCTCAGGACTTCCAAAATATGGAGACCCATGATCACATACAGTACATTATAGAAATACAATACTTATAGATATAGATATGAATACATGACATCTTCTCACAGTTTGTTCATTGATTGCTAATGCAGCCACAGGTGCTTGATGAGGGACAAGTTGACGGACATATGCAAGCCTTGCTAAGTCCCATATTATTGCTGAGCGATCCCTAGAACCAGACACTAAAAGTCCATATGCGCTGCTGGCCGCTAAACATGTAATAGCATCACTATGGCCGTATAGTGACTTTTTCTGCACAAGTTGACGTTTGATGATTTCATACACATTAACAACCTGAAAATAAAATACCCTGTGATAAAATTTTACTACGAACTGTGTACATAATTGTGTGAGGTAACTTTTTTAATAATAAAACAAATGTTTACAATAATTTAACAATTTCAACACAAATCTGTGAAATTTCTCTACTAAATTGATCATTCAGTTCAGGAGCACTTCTCATAGGCATAAAAGTAGTAGAAGCAAGTATTACCGTTGATGTTCCTGCAGTGATAATAGTTTTATTATTGGGACAGACAGCAGCAAGGATTTCCCCATTCTGAGGAGTTTCACTCACTAATACAGCCCGCTCACTCTCATACCCACCAATACGGAGACTGAAAAATAAACAAATGAACTTACATTATGGTCTTGTCATTCATTACAGCACACAGTTTCATTATGAGAAATGGTGTATTATCTTACATTCAATGAAATTATATTGTCCTCTAAGAGGAAGAGCATCATGTTGTGTAGTAGCCTCTTGATTTAATACTAAGTTGGTATCATATTTTCTAATATCAGTAAATTTTAAGAATTCTGCATACAGCAATCCCAGTAGGCTACTGTATGTTGAAAATCAACTAAACAAATCTATAGCGTCCTTGGTGATGTAATTAAAAATATGGATAAAAATTCAGTTTACAGTAGAATTCATATTATTACACAACCTACCTCTGGTCAGCGAAACCCCAAGCCAGATACCGTTGGTATGTATGAGGAACCAAAGTCTTGTTCTGTTCCACTGCCAGGATCACCTTATCCTGAGCAATTATCTGGCCTACTGCACCTTTCACTTCTGCAGAAACAAAGCTTAATGCTTACAACTGAAAAAATGCTTTTTGCATGAAATCTTCATGGCATCAACTTCATACCCTACACACACAAGGCTACAACAAAAGCAGATAACTATTTGTTACTTTTGCTATGCTAAATAATGTAAAGAACACATCCTGTACCACTTCCAAAGATCATAATTTATAATAATGCAGCTTAAAAACTTACATATCCATACACATACTGGGTGATGACTTGGCTTTCATTAACCATGAGATTTCCTTGCTCCATCAGTCACAGTATATCACACGCTATACTTTTTAATTTTTCACATGACCACAGAATGCATTTTAACAATACTAGAAAGAAATATTTTGAGAGAGGCATGTATTTTTTTTTCTTGTGCACAGGGAAGGTGTCAGCTATAAGCAGGTGCACAGACTGAAGGTTAATAATCCTGGACTTATCTTTAGTGCTTCACGTTTATCCCCTTTCTTGAATATTTAAACTACATGTGGTTTTTTTCCATATTTCCAGTAGCTCTCCAGTCTCTAATGTAATGTTGAACACTATAGTTAATGGGTAACACAAGGTCACTGAAGCTTCCTTCAGTGACCATAGTGAAAATGTGAGTACTGCAATAGTATTTGTTTATGTGCACCCAAACTTGAACACACAAATTAGAACTGATCTCCTTCTGTTTCATCAAGTATTACATTTTAGAAAAACAAAACAAAAATTACAGGATTTTTATATGAATTTATGCCTATTTTAATAAGTTTATAACATCAAAACCTTGTTGATACAATAACATACATAAAAAAACACCTTATTTACCTCTAGAGTGAAGCTGTGCTAGCCATTGTGACAAGGGAGTGGGTAAGTCAGGTGAGCATGCATTAAAGGAGCTTGCACACACCATGTACAGTCTTCACATATGGTACAGCATGAGCAACAGTGCTGGTACCAGTGCCACACTCCTTCACCAGCCCACTCTAAAGCTTCATCACTCACTCACTCCTATGAGCAGTCACATCTTTGTCTTTCTTAACTACTTCAGCCTAATGTTCTTGCTAGACATCATTCATGCTCAACTGAATGAATAAAAATTGGCTGAATTACAGTGCACAGGATCACTTAACCTTAACGCAATGAGGAAAAAATCATCGTAAGTATGAAGGTAATGCGTGACCAAGTTCAGAAGGTATTCATGGAAAAGAAAAATTACAAGATACAACATATAAATACCCCACAAAAGTTCAAACAATTATTAATTGACATTTTTATTATACAGAAATTTAATTAAATTTACACACATACCATACAGGTATAATAAGTATCTGGGAGTATTCGGTTATATTTAGTCGATTCCAATTTTGATGAGTTTTGGTCCCCAATATTTTACTTTACCTGTAGGTTTGACTAGGAAAAAAAAGAAAAGAAAATACAATAATAAAAGCCAATCAAAACTCTAAGAGTATACACCACCCAGAATGCCCCTCCATCACTCAACACCAAGTGAATGCCACTACTGACCCCATCTTACAACTACAAGCACCATTAGTCTCGAACTTCATCATGCTATCACAGCCAAGTCACAGCACATAAAATTAGATTATATATATATATATTAGTGATTGTTGCATGATTTTGTACTGTAAGCAATAAAAAACTGATTTTTATATTCAATATACAGTATATATGAGAGAGCATAAACATACATACCAGGATACAGTACACACAAATAAATAAATAAATAAATATTATATATATATATATATATATATATATATATATATATATATATATATATATATATATATATATATATATATATATATATATATATATTTATATTTATTATTGTTTTGCATACCTGGGTATAGCTATAAAAAAACTTATGCAGTGTGAGGGATAAAGACACAAAAAGAAATTCAGCAGAGCAAAGCTAATAAGTGGAGAAGTCACACCACGAAAAAGCATATACCGTATGGAGAAAAACTAGATTTAAGGAGCAACATTACAGACTTCTATAACTTACCCTTAACAGCGTGCATGGAAGGTCTCAAGTTATCGAGATTATGGAAAAAGACTTTTTCTAGAGGTGTTACTGTAGGGGCTTGAGAAAGAGGTCCTGAATCAATGATGGATGTACGTTGGCCAGATAGTTTCTTGCATGGATGAGGTTTTCGAAACAACTGTTTAGGTATCTGACCAAAGTTGTTGATAAATCCAATAGTTGCATTCTTCTTCAGAGGGTCCTCAATACTGATAACAAAGAAACAATAATCAAGCACTGAAAGTATTGAAATGCCCTTTTCTGGTGGGCCAGTCAGTAACTCCCTGAGCTGAAGTAAAACTAACGGAATCGCACCCGAGTCTACTGGGAGCCAGGCCAAGAATCTGGCTCTCTATAAGACAAGGGAATTTTGAGGATCAAAGATAAACCCAAAATTTTGAAAAAAAATATCAAAACGCAGAACATAAATGGCTTCCAGAACTGAAAAACAAAGAGTTACAAGGAGAGGCTAGAGGCATTAAACATGCTAAAACTTGAAGATAGAATAAAAGGAGGTGATATGATCACCATTTACAAAATACTAACTTGAATTGACCAAATTGACAAAAAGGAATTCCTAAAACCAGCAACTTCAAGAACAAGGGAACACAGATTCAAGCTACAAAAACAAAGGTGCCAAAAAATTATTAGAAACTTTTCTTTTGCAAACAGAGTAGTAGACGGTTGGAACAAGTTAAGTGAGAAGGTGGTGGAGGCTAAAACCGTCAGTAGTTTCAAATCATTATATGACAAAGAGTACTGGGAAGACAGGACACCACGAGCGTAGTTCTCATCTTGTAACTACACTTAGACAATTACAAGTAACTGCTTGAAAATAAATTAGAATGTCTGAGGAAAACAAGGTAAACAATCATTGCCAGGAGATAAACAGCCTAGCCATAATACACCCAACTACAACAAGATTGCAGCCAAAGTGAGCTAGGAGCCCTGCCACCCAGCTACCTCATTCACGAGCTACCCAAACACAATCCTGCTCCAACTCCATCTGAATTCTGAGAGGGGCTCCTCAGCAGCTCCCAGAGCCAACTCACAACAATGCCTCATTACATGATGCTTTTCTGAAAGGGAAACAATGAAAATTTGAGAAGATGGACTTGGCTCACATGTGACAGATGACAGACTGCATTTACAAGTAAAAAGAGAGTAGGAAAAGATCCAGGACAAAAAAAACATAACCTTTGCGCTACAAGCTCTAGTGCCACACATACATGTAGGGAGGCCAAGGAACATCCACCAAGAAGCGAGAGGTAAACACCAGATTGAACTGCCAGAAGACCCAAGATTGGATATTCTCCCTAGACATATTGGCAAAGAAAGCCAACAAAACAGCAGACCTTCCAGTCCTCATGAAAGAGGAGTCAACAGGCCAGAAACAAGGGCTTAACCGGCAATAAGAGAGCTAAGGCTGCGGCTCAGCCCATAAGCATCTCTAACCTGGCAGCACAGAAAGGAGGAGCAAGATCAGAAGAGGGATGGAAAGACCATCAGCTTCATTCCAGGTGAAAGGTGTCTACCACTTAAGCTTCTTGATCAGGACATGGAACCACATTGATTGCAGGGCCCCCAATTTCACATACAAGCTACCATGTCCACCTGCATATAGCAGAACATCTCTGGAATTTATTCTTCTGGGATCCACTTCAACAAGGTCATGGCTGTTCTCATAGGCAGTCCAGATCTACAGGGTTGCGACTGTTCTCTTGGTTGTGCTTTTCGCTTGTCTGCTAACCAGCTTTTAGCAAGTAACTCCATTTCGGACTGTGAAGTGCTCGGTGAAAGCCTTTCGTCTATGCCGGTCTCGACATGATTTGGCGAGACTACTGCTGACATTTCCCAGGATGCAATCCACAACATTTACTTAACTTCCAAGTTCTGTACCTATTTACTGCTAGAACAAAAGTGTCAGGTGAAAGGAAACACTGCCCAAATGCTTTTATCCTGCATCAGAAATTGTACCCAGACTGCACTGATTACTGTGTCACATTCATAAAAGAGGAAGAAAACAATAACAAAGCAATGACCTTCAGTTGAATTAGTATTCCAAGGATAGCCAGCACCACTTCGCTTCAGTGTGAAGCCGAGGTCAAGTTTCATTAGAAGAACCAATGCCCCTACATTGTGACCAGACGAGTTACGGGGGCAGGCTGGCTGGAACCAAAGATGACCTGGCCCATCAACTGCTGATAGCCAAGTGCATCACAATTAGAAATTTACCACATGTAAATGATCATTTGCCGTGTTACATTTGGGTATCTAATCGTGTTCAAGCAGATACAAGTTTTATGCATCTTTCTGGTGGAATTTTTCATAGTTTTCTGATGATCTCTGATCACTCACTTCACAGAGTAAGCTAGATTCTGGTCCTGGCTTCTGGTAGGCTCAGGTGGATCACAGTGGCCTCTCCCTAAGGCTTGACTGGACTAGTGCTTACCTAGAGAGCTCTACTGTAGGGGCCTTCCCAGAAAACTCATAAGAAACATTGCATGAGAAACTGTAAAAATCCATAAATAAAGCATTCAGCAACTGCTAGAGAAATTAATAGGCAAAGTAAACTAAATGTATCTCAAGGTCAGCGGTTAGTTAACCCTGATGCAAACATTGGCCAATATGTTGTACATACTATAGGCTTCAAAATTGTTATCATAAATGCTATATGTTTCCTTTATTCTCTTTTTCTCATCACGTAAATAGTTCCATCTGTGTCCAAACAATCAGAGCAGTCTCCCTATTAATTACGTATTCAAACTTACTTGTAAATATCCACATTTCCCTCATAAAAAAGATGATGGAAGACATTAACAGCCTCTACTGCTGGTTGTCCAAGCTGCTTATATCCAAATATCAAATCAATCCACTCGTGAAGATGGGCAGAAACATAGTCACACTCGAGGGCTGCACGGTGAAGGCGGATAAACTCACGAGAATCACCCTTAGCCCAGGGAGGTAAGACAACATCGTCTAACTGTTTCCCACTTTGTTTGCATCCTGAAAATAGATGAAATATTTATCAGGATGCAGATTAAAACATTTATTTATATATATTAATATAAAAAATCCATCTTGTACAGAACTATTAACAACTGCAGCATCATATACAGATGCTGTACATGCATTTTGTAGAGAATACAGCTAATGAGAATATTAAAAAATACTCTCAGGAAAAATTATGGCATGTAAAGACAAAATTTAAAGCGGGTCGAAAGCAAGACTGAAAGTTCGATGGGTGGACTTCATGAAAAAAGTGTGTATGTAAATATTATTGGATTTGCTGGAAAGAATACCAGAGGACATATTCATGGAGGAGATGCACTCATCAGTGCAGAAGATAAATTGCAGAGAAGCAATATGTAAATTATTTTAATGACTTATTAAAACATGGCTTTCAGAGAAATGAAAAGCAGTTTTATGAACAAATCATTCTGCTGCTTCCTAGAAAAATCTCTGAAGTGTGTGTAACAGTCGATAACAGTCAGGCAGGATGACAATCCGACATTAAAGCCCGAGGGCAATTCTCAAGTGCTCCTGCTGATAATTTTTGAGCGCTCTTCTACTCCAGCAGCCAGCCATCCTTGGTGATTACCTAGTCTACGAGGCTGTCTGTCTTCATAGCTTCCATGCTCACGTAGTCATCACTGCAACAAACTAATCAAGCTTCCTCTCGGAAGCTTCTTCTGTTATTCCAGCGACATATATGTGCTGGTTGGAGATTGAAGAATGATGGGCCTCTGATGCTTACATTGTGTTTTTTAATTGTGCTTATGGAACCCTGACTTTTTATTAGATTTTACACTTCTTAACACATCTCTCACTCCAGTATGTTGGAATTTTATTGTGGTACCCAGGTGGTGTTGGCTGTGGCACCCATGTGATGGCTGTGAAACTCCCAGATGGTACCTGGGAGTTAGGCAACTGTTGTGGGTTGCATCCTGGGAAAGAACAGTAGTAGACCTAGGGGGAACCTCAACAATGGGAATTATAACAATCAATAACTTGCCAGTAAAAACAAGATATATTTCTAAATTTAATCAGTACCATGTCATGCTTCAATTTTTTTTACACAAATTGGATTTTATCAACAAACAATATGTCAACCTGCAGAGATGAAAAAGAATTCCAAATTTCTACCTTATTCCAAATTTCTCCATTTGCCTCTATCCTCATAATCATCCGACTTTAAGGTGTCAAAACTTACCTAGATCAAACCTATTGGAGTTAAGAAGGAATTCTGGTAAATAGAAGAACTCTGGTATAAGTTCTTTAACGTCTGCCATATTGTTGCGTGAAGCAGAGTGCCACGCTTCCTTCATACTGTGGAACATTCTATCAGCCAAGTCAAAATGTCCACCCTGAAAATAATTAAAAAGCATAAATAAACAAAAAATACCTAAGAAAACTTTTAAAATTTTATGATCTCAATCTGTGAAGCTTAAGCCACCATCTTCTCCACTACAGAGTCTTCAACACCACTCTGCAACACCCCAACAAGTAAGGTGACCTGGGAGTGGGGTTCAGGAGTGGGGTTCAAAAGGTGTGTATGTAGCTGCTGCCTGGTTGTCAGCAGCTCAGGTATCAAAGCAAGCCAAATGGCAGCAAACCAAGGCACTCTTTTCTTGTGATGTCAATGGAGGATTTGAGAAGCATTTGAATTTTCTGAATGTAGTGTTGTTGGTAATTATGGGCTGGATATATCATTCTCTAGTAACTCCTCGGCACCACAATGACCCTATAGAACAGTCTGAAGAGTTCCCTGTGATCTGTAAAGTATACCACCTACCTGACCATGCATCATCCTGTTCTAAGGACACAGCGACCTTACCTACAGGAGCAGCCAGATGAAAAAGCCATAAAAATCTTGCAGATGACTATGGCAGTGGCTTTATTAGATTACTGTACTTTCATCTTAATCAGTCCTATAATAGTATAATTACAAATGGGAATATTTAGTCTCTTAATATTAAAGTTCTGTGACCCCTAAATTGCACTTAAATTAGAATGTCTTGGAATATTAAGCTTCATTAAAAATATAATACGGCATAGGACATATGATACTCAAAAGAAAAGGAAAGTCCTTCATTAAAATAATAACAGAACTTTTCACTGCATACTGATGCACTGGTAAGTTGAGTCTGAATTAAAGTACTGTACTGTAATTAAAATGCTCTTACTTGTAATCTGAGGAAATGTTGTGTGAAGGGCTCCATGCGAACAAGATATGATGAAACAATCATCGCCGAAGAGTAATGGGTACCATAGTGGTATGGTGGGGTTTCTCCCGAAGGGTCATCCCACTCTCGGTAACGTTTTGAAAACTGCTCTAGTCTATCTGGAGTCTGTTGACAAATAAATAAAAATAAATAAAATAAATAAATAAATAAATAAATAGATAAATAAATAAATAAACACACAAGCTGAAAATGCAACGGACAAATACAAAAACACTGCCAAGTTCCATATCAATATGGCATTAGACCTTTACATCAGTGATTTCCAAAGAGTCACTTAAAATCTCATCTCATTTTGGTGGGGGCGCTCAGGAGCTTCCTGAGCTGTGTGCTGGTCCAGCAAATCCTTCAGGCCTCTAAGACCCACCCTTGCCCATTAGAAGGAGCTTGAGGTATTAAAGATAAACCCAAAATAAAGAAGAGACCCACCAGAAAGCATATTTGCAACAAAACAAGCATCTGAAGTCATTCAGGCATTTGCATGCAACGAGGCAAACAATCACTGCCACAGTATAAACACTGTAGCCATGATGCACATGTCCTCCACCAGGTGGCAGCCCAGGTCACTTGGGGCCCTCAGCCAGCTTGCTCCCTCGCTCACCAGCCAGGCTACAGTCTCAGAGGGTATACCTCTAACAGGACTCATCCTCTGCTTCACAATTAAGCCAACTGGAATTGGTTGTTCCTGGAATATTGAGCTAATGCTTTATTTTTCTCCTCTCCTTCAATATTGTGTTTTATGTCACATGCTGATTGTGATTTAGCTTAATATTTCTCACTGAATGAGGGGTCAGGGGTTATGTTCGTTGATAGTTGGCTTGTGGTTTTCATCCTTTGCTAGAAATAGCCACTCTGAGGTGTTTAGACTCCTCTTCGAGCCGATTCCTGTTCAACAGCTTAGCTTTCGGGTAGTGAACAGGACTTCGTTCTTCCCTGCGAGGCCTGTTGAGGAGGAGTATAGTACTTAGGCGTGCACTGTCAATTATACCATGCCTTGCTGCTTATGCATGTAGGAGTTTTGTGCTTTTACCAAGGGTTGCTTTTACCTTGAGTATCCAAGTGATTATCCAGTCCAGGGCTGCATACGCCTTTCCTCACCAGGTGTTCAAGGCTGGGATTCGGGCATTGTTCAGCCAAAATGTCTCCCTTACACCTGGCAGTCCTCCATGTCTAAGTGACACTCCTGGATGCTGGTTTCCCTTATTCATTTAGTCATATTTACATGCTCTGGTGGTTTGTTTTAGTTATGTTCTTGACTTTGCAGTTTCTCCTCAAGGGCCACTATTTTTCTACCTATAGATGCAGCAGAGCTGTCCACTTCCCACCCTCATGAGTTCCTGCTGGCCAATGCCATTTCCAACACCATCCTCCTGTTTTGGTAGTACTTATAGTAACGATGAGGACCATAGAACATAGACATGTACCAATGAACAGCACAATTAGAAAGTAGAAATCAGTACTATTGAATTTGGACAAACTGGAAGAGATTTTCTATTTATGTTGCAAAGACAAGCTAAATTAACCTAACCTTCATAGGCCTAATACATGATATCTGAAGCCTAATATAGTACACATTATGTGCTAATCTAAGCCTAGGAAAATTAAAGTTTGTTTTTTAGCTTCATTTTTTTGGATACTATAAAATTAATAGTACCATATTCTACTATCTAATTGCTTAGTATGTCAATTTTTTTACTATGATCCACATAATTACAAAAACTACTACGTATCTATACAGGAGGATGGGTGGGATTTCTTCTCCACTTTCATTCACAGCCCCAAGTTTAACTCGTGCACCTACACATGTGTAACAAGACCTAGAGGCCCTTGTTTTTGTGATATATCCCATGCTTAATTCCCCCTTCTCTTTTCTCTTTTGGTTTTGGACCTCTGGAGGGATGGTAGACTGCCCCTAGCCTTCTCCCCCCCTCAGAGAAGGGTGGGGTTCAGGGTCTTGTGGATTTGTTGGGGAGGCCATGAGTTTCCTCTACATCCTTCTGGGTGGACTTATTCTAGCTAGACTTGAGGGCATGTTCTCTTGGGAGGCTTATCTGGTCTTCTCTCTCTCTGGGGCTTACTCTGCCCCTACCCTTAGGAGCGTTCCAGGTCCCAAGTTCATGGCTCCATTTCCCCTGCGACAGGTTTCAGTAACCTGAAAACTTCAATAACTTTAAAACTTTGGAAACCTGCCAACTTTTTGTTACTGTTTGTATTGTTTTCCTTATTTATTTATCTAATTATTTGAAGGCGTGGCTTATTTTATTTCAGCTGGACTTTCTGGTTAGGTTTCATTGATTTTTTTGTTGCACTCTGAACCCCATTCTCCTCTCACCTTTCTGAGTGGACAAGATTTTCATCATTGTTTCCAGTAGGCTCCTGCACTTCTCAGAGGCATGGTACAGTCTGAAGGCTTACCATTACCAGCACTTAAGCTCAGAGTTGCTTTTGAGGGACTAACCAAAAAGATGCATTTCAGTACATTCATTGTTTGATTTGATTTTACACAAAATTTTCTCCGCTACATTTCTTTTTTAGTACAAATTATACATTAATTGTTTACATTCTTAAATTTAATATTTAAGACCCCTCATAATGGATAACATGACACTAACCTGAGCACCCATTGGTTTAGAGAGGTCTCTAAAAGTAGCAGAATTCGTCATGTCCAATTCTTCAGAGGTATAATCAGCTAATACCCAAGGGAAGATTGGATACTGCATCAGGTCATTGTAGGAACGTCCTGCTAAGGTGTTTAAGTGCATCAAATATTGGAAGTTGCTTATCTCGCCACGCTGAAATGCAAAAGACAAAAGGATTATATACAATAATAAAAATTGACACTCATGTAACAAGGTCATATTTTCAGACTCCCTTCTCTAGCCACAAACCAACAACAAATTAAAAAATTAAAAAATCTGCTATGTAATCCCAACATTACATTGACCACTACAGATTGGCAAGGCATAAAATAGACTGTGAACATGAGGTGAAGAAAACACTGAAGCACCACATTTTAATGTTTTAACACCAATGCTCCTTCATGAATAGTAGGGACTGGCAAGGCAGTGGGTCGTATATAGTGCCAACCAGCGGTGTCAGTGAGCTTAAACATGTATAACAATTGTTGTCAATGTCAAATAATCAACCATCATAAAGGCAAAAAAAAATTGACATATATAGGAAAATCATTACTGTTATGATGATAATTATAAAAGGTAATGAAAGCAAATTCTCTAAATCTGTTTCAAAATGAGCCAATAAATGAATATAGTTTAAATGAAGTTGACACGATGACCAGTACTGCACCTTTGCTCGACAAGAGTGGTGTTCACGTTGGTGGTATTGCCACCAACGTGGCAATATGAAGCTTATGTTCAAACACTTTGACCAATATCCAAGGAACTCTACCCTATGTACAATTACCCTGGCTAAGTAATTATCAATTAGTAATTATTATAAATACCAAAATTAAGAGCAGAGTAGAATGCAAATTCCTTGGCAAACACAGATGGGGCCTCGTGGCTGAGTGGACAGCGCTTGGGGTTCATAGTTTGAATGGCCCGGGTTCGATTCCCGGTGCTAAAACAAATGGGCAGATTTTCTTTAAACCTGATGCTCTGTTCACCTTGCAGTAAATAGGTACCTGGGAGTTAGACAGCTGCTATGGGCTGCTTCCCTGGGAATGTACTCACCTATTTGTGCTTGCGGGGGTTGAGCTCTAGCTCTTTGGTCTTGCCTCTTAACTGTCAATCTACTGGTGTACAGGTTCCTGAGCCTATTGGGCTCTATCATAACTACACTTGAAACTGTGAATGCAGTCAGCCTCCACCACATCACTGCCTAATACATTCCATTTGTCAACCACTCTGACACTAAAAAAATTCTTTCTAATATCTCTGTGGCTCATTTGGGCACTCAATTTCCATCTGTAACCCCTAGTGCGTGTGTCCCTTGTGTTAAATAGCCTGTCTTTATCTACCCTGTCAATTCCTCTGAGAATCTTGTACGTGGTGATCATGTCCCCCCTAACTCTTCTGTCTTCCAGTGACATGAGGTTTAATTCCTGTAGTCTCTCCTCGTAGGCCATACATACATACAATGTGTGTGTGTGTGCGTGCGTGCGTGCGTGTGTGTGTAATTACCTAAGTGTAATTACCTAAGTGTAGTTACAGGATGAGAGCTACGCTCGTGGTGTCCCGTCTTCCCAGCACTCTTTGTCATATAACGCTTTGAAACTACTGACGGTCTTGGCCTCCACCACCTTCTCACTTAACTTGTTCCAACCGTCTACCACTCTATTTGCGAAGGTGAATTTTCTTATATTTCTTCGGCATCTGTGTTTAGCTAGTTTAAATCTATGACCTCTTGTTCTTGAAATTCCAGGTCTCAGGAAGTCTTCCCTGTCGATTTTATCAATTCCTGTAACTATTTTGTATGTAGTGATCATATCACCTCTTTTTCTTCTGTCTTCTAGTTTTGGCATATTTAATGCTTCTAACCTCTCCTCGTAGCTCTTGCCCTTCAGTTCTGGGAGCCACTTAGTAGCATGTCTTTGCACCTTTTCCAGTTTGTTGATGTGCTTCTTAAGATATGGGCACCACACAACAGCTGCATATTCTAGCTTTGGCCTAACAAAAGTCATGAACAATTTCTTTAGTATATCGCCATCCATGTATTTAAATGCAATTCTGAAGTTAGAAAGCATAGCATAGGCTCCTTGCACAATATTCTTTATGTGGTCCTCAGGTGATAGTTTTCTATCTAGAACCACTCCTAGATCTCTTTCTTTATCAGAATTCTTTAAAGATTTCTCACATAATATATAGGTTGTGTGGGGTCTATGTTCTCCTATTCCACATTCCATAACATGACATTTATTAACATTAAATTCCATTTGCCAAGTGGTGCTCCATATACTTATTTTGTCCAGGTCTTCTTGAAGGGCATGACAGTCATCTAAATTTCTTATCCTTCCTATTATCTTAGCATCATCAGCAAACATGTTCATATAATTCTGTATACCAACTGGTAGATCATTTATGTACACAATAAACATCACTGGTGCAAGAACTGAACCCTGTGGTACTCCACTTGTGACATTTCTCCATTCTGATACATTGCCTCTGATTACTGCCCTCATTTTTCTATCAGTCAGAAAATTTTTCATCCATGATAGAAGCTTACCTGTCACCCCTCCAATATTTTCCAGTTTCCAGAACAACCTCTTATGTGGAACTCTGTCGAAAGCCTTTTTTAGGTCCAGATAGATGCAGTCAACCCAACCATCTCTTTCCTGTAATATCTCTGTGGCTCGATCATAGAAACTGAGTAAATTCGATACACAGGATCTTCCAGATCGAAAACCATACTGTCTGTCTGATATTATATCATTTCTCTCTAGGTGTTCTACCCATTTAGTTTTGATTAGTTTTTCCAATACTTTCACTATTACACTTGTCAATGATACAGGTCTATAATTGAGGGGGTCTTCCCTGCTGCCACTTTTGTAGATTGGAACTATGTTAGCCTGTTTCCACCCGTCTGCTACGATTCCTGTACACAGGGATGCCTGAAAGATCAGGTGAAGTGGAATGCTGAGCTCAGATGCACATTCTCTCAGAACCCATGGTGAAACGCCATCTGGGCCAGCTGCTTTGTTCTTACCGAGCTCCTTGAGCATTTTTTCCACTTCGTCTCTAGACACCTCTATGTGTTCTATGTTGTTCTCTGGAATTCTTATTGTATCTGGTTCCCTAAAGATTTCATTTTGTACAAACACACTTTGGAACTTTTCGTTTAGTGTTTCACACATTTCCTTTTCATCTTCCGTGAATCTATTTCCCATTTTCAACCTCTGAATATTATCCTTTACCTGCAATTTGTTGTTTATGAATTTATAGAATAGACCTGGTTCTGTTTTACATTTGTCCGCAATCCCTTTTTCAAAATTTCTTTCTGCCTCTCTCCTCACTGCCGTGTAGTTGTTTCTCGCATCTTTGTATCGCTGGTATGTTTGGGGGTTCGGCCTCTTCCTGTATTGATTCCATTTTTGTGTCTTTCGGTCTCTAGCCCTCTCGCAATTTCTATTGAACCAATCCTGTTTCCTAGTTCTGCATCTCTGTTTTGGTATAAATTTTTTTGTGCCTTTATCATATATTTCACAAAACTTGCCATACATCTCATTCACTTCCTTGCCTAGCAACAAGTCTGTTCAATTATACTCACTAAAGATTTTCTTAAGGTCCCCATGATGTCCTCTCCTGAAGTCAGGTTTTTCAACTGCTTCAACCTCCTTATTTTCTTCCAGATTATAACGCATTGCATACTTTATTCCCCAAAAGACATGGTCCCTTTTACCCAAGGGAGGAAGGTACTGAATGTCAAATATCTCTCCTTCCTTCCTGGTAAATATCAAATCTAGCATGGGAGGGAACGTCCCCTTCCCTCATCCTCGTAGCTTGTTTAACATGTTGTTACAAGAATGTTTCCAGGATGAGGTCTACAAATCTACATGTCCAAAAATCTTCTGTTTTAGCTTCATATTCTTCCCAGTCTATGGATTTCAAGTTGAAGTCACCGACTATCAACAGTCGTGATCTATTGTTATCCGCTCTCGCTATAATCTCTCTCATTATTGTTATAAGACCTTCTCGTTTACTATTTCGCTCCTCCTTTGACCATGTGCTGCTTGGCGGTGTACTATATGCATTTATGATCATTAATTTATCATCCTCATGGCAGATCTCTAGTGCTATTATGTCAACTTCTTGTGGATTGGCAGTCATTATTTTCTTCACCTTTAGGTGTTCTTTTACCAGCACAGCAACGCCACCGCCTTTCCTAATTTTTCTGTCCCGTCTCCAAATTGAGTAGCCCCTTGGGAATATGACCTCATTTAAAATAACATCTTCAAGTTTTGTCTCCGTGAGTGCAACAATGTCTGGTGTCTGCAGCTGTATTACATCACTTAACTCCAGTATCTTCGATCTCACTCCATCTATGTTGGTGTATGCAATCTTCAGGAACTTGTTCCCCCTCTCCTTATTCTTCACTCCCCCTCTCTCTATTGATTTTGTTGGTTTGCCTTTATGTACCACTTTACTGGTTTGCCTACCCCTATCACTTTGTAGAAAAAAGAATTTATTTCTTCTTCATTCCTGTGTGTGTGTGTGTGTGTGTGTGTGTGTGTGTAATTACCTAAGTGTAATTACCTAAGTGTAGTTACAGGATGAGAGCTACGCTCGTGGTGTCCCGTCTTCCCAGCACTCTTTGTCATATAACGCTGTGTGTGTGTGTGTGTGTGTGTGTGTGTGTGTGTGTGTGTGTGCGTGCGTGCGTGTGTGTGTGTTAGAAAGAAATATATGTAGTAGACATAGGAGGAAAAATAGATTGGCTAGAAATAGCTAAATACAGTAGCTCGATTCTGCATACACAAAGAGTAAATACAGACAAGAAATGGAACTGCAACTGTCCCCCCAAAAAAATTCTTATGTGATAAAAGTTGACTTGTCAGTATGGTATTATTAATACATAGGAAAGTTCAAGATAATTGTTTATATGAAATGTAAGCTGCAGTTAATAATTAACATACAGTATATAAAACTACAAATATTTAAAGATAATCATAAAACTAATATACGTGGTTTTAAGTAGGCAGATTATAATAAAATATTTAAAGAGTTAAAAGTAGGTAACAATTTCCTTATTTAGATTGAAGACTGCATGGAGATTTATGCTCTCTGATGTGGGGGAGTGTTGTATGGATAGATAGAATGATGGATAGACAGAACGATAGGGATTAGATATACTATATTTGTTAGAATTCATAGTACGTATACTGTTAGAAAAAGCCCTCAACCTTTCTCTCAATGACTCACAGTGGAAACCAGCCTCCCTTCCAGTCAGACTCGGGGGCCTCAGCGTTCGCACAGCGACACAAATTGCTGTACCAGCGTTCCTGTCCTCTTCAGTGGCACCTGACAACCTGGTGAAGGAAATCCTACCCGATTACCTACATCAACAGGCAGGGGGTACACGATCCCAGCTTTATACACTGCACCACCAAACAGATCTCTTTCGCAGGACCAGCACTCCAACCACCACCTTCTAAAGCCCACAAACAATCCAGCTGGGATGGCCCCATTGTAGACCAAGCAGATGCAACATGCCTAGAAGCTGCAACACCACTACATGACACTGCTCAACTTAAGAGCCGTACCAGCTCCACATGCAGGTGACTTCCTATTAGCAACCCTAATGTCAGCAACTGGCACGCGTCTCACACCGCAGGCCCTCCGAATTGCCGAGGCTCTCTGCCTTGCTGCCCCAATCCACATTGAATATAGGTGTATTTGCAGCAAGACAGTGCTCTGCAGCTCTGACAAGTCTGTTGGTCGCCCAGATGGGATGACATTGAACCCCTAGAAGAATGGTAGACAGTTGGTGTGGGACTACACGTGTCTCAACTTTAGCCAATACCTATGTTAACTTCAGTGGTGCACATCTGGATGGCGCTGCCACTCACAGGAAAGCAGCCAAGTCTCGTAAATACATAGATTTGGATCACCACATATACTGTCAAAGCATTATATGACAAAGAGTGCTGGGGAGATGGGACACTATGAGCATAGCTCTAATCCTGTAACTACACTTAGGTAATTACATGACCCTTATTACAGTAACCATCTTCACTTCATACAACCAGGTAAACCATCATCACTGCAACCATCTTTACCACTGTAACCATCTTAATAATAAGGTAGAAAATAATATGTTGGATGAATCTTATTGAGGATGGAGTCTGGTATATAGTAAATTTGGAATTAATTTAAGTTTTTAACCACACCCAAACACATCTGACCCTGACTTCCCTATGACAGTCCCAAACACCCACCAGTCACCCTGTAAAGTTTGGTGAGGGTAGCCCAAATCACCTGGCATCCAACCTTGCATACACAGACAGTCTATTTTATAGACAGAGATTAGTGAATAATACAGTAGTGTTATCAGGACAGATCAAGGTATCTAGAAGTGGTTTTTAGGGAGTATGCCAACTGGGTACATCTTGTATATATGTTAGTTTTAGTACCATATATGCCTACGATGTAATATAATGTATGTACCCATTGTCATAAACGTTAATACTATTAGAATTATTATATTTAGCAAACACCTGCCACCTGATTTGTCTCGGTTTTCCTTTTCTTAGCAAAGTCATTGACTAATTGGACTTTCTTATGAACAACTCACTTGTTAAACATAATTATAGTACTGGTCATGGAAGCAACTTATGTGAAGTTAAATTAGCTACATAGGTCTACAGTATATGCTTTAATAGCCATCTGAGAAAATGTTAGTCACAATAAATATTTACTCATACCAACATTAGTCAAACAACTTGATGATTGGCGATAATCTCGCTTAGTACCAAACTCTTATTTGTAATTGTAATTCGGTTCTATTGGCACACTGCTCTCGATTCAATGTAAGATCTCTGTGCATCTATTGTGTGTTATTCTTGGAGAGTATGCAAAATCAAACCGACCGTCTATAAGCATTTGTACTTACCACCCATCTATGAGTAACAGATGTTTCGCCAATTATGGAAGAAAAGAGTCCGCCAGCCTGTTCCACACTTGCTGACCGTCTCTGACCTTCTACAGACTGCTGGGCATTATCTGCTAACCCCGTGCACACCATCAACAGCCTAAAGGAAATTATATCCCATAACTACTTTGGAAAATGTAATTACTACAAGACTCATCAATCAATACATAATGCCACGATCCTTAGCGTGTGATCGTGGCAATGGTGCAGCACTCTTGTATACTCACAAATGATACAATATGGTTTATTCAATGAAGACAAGGGTTTACACAAAGATCATCTGATTATACAAATTCCAGAAACAAAGAGCAAATGTCTTTAAATTACATTTCCTATGAAGATTAATAAATAGTGTCATCAGTCACTGGTCTCATTACCAATATCACCAATCTTCTTAAGCTCTTGAAGCTTTGTTTCAAGCCAATTCTCTTCTACTGAAGATGATCTTTTACTGGCTTGGAAAAAAATTTGGTTTATTCATTAATTATCATATGCAGCCAGCTCAAAATGCATGTCACCCCTTGCATAGACTATAATGCTGAGACGAACTTCTAATACCCATTGCGCAATAACCATCATCATTTAATGTTAAGCTTGCGAACTATTATTACTATAAAAGATAACCTCAATTGAATCGTATCCTAACATCAAAATAGAAGTCATTAGCAATACACACCTTTGATATGTTTTATTGCGTAGTTTTCTGGGTAATGCAAGTAGATAATTTCTCCCATCAGAAGAGAAGATCTCTAAAGCAATGGGCTGTAGCAAATATCTGAAATAAACATAATAGTTTATGCAATTAATTTTGTTGCTAAAAAGCATCACTTAAATTATATGGCATTTTGATTAAATAACTCTACTATATCATTAATGCCAAATGCCAAGGTAAGAAATTACAAAGAATATACATTCTTGCATTTTCATTCTAGCACTACAATAGCATTGTTCCCCATCATTCTTGAATGATTGACACCGTGGTGTTCTTGCCATTTGCGATTGATTTAATGTGCCTCTTAATATTCAAGGTTCCGATATATTCTATTTGGATGTCATTTGGCACTAGAGACTTCTGGCAATTGTTTGCCATATTGGGAAAATTTGGCATCATTTCATGTGCATCACTGACCATTTACTGATGCCTGTGCATACTGACACAATCCAATATTTCAATGACTTTCATGGACAAGAAAGATATTTGTGATAAGGAGAAATGTATTACAAATAGTTTACTTGAAAATTAATTTTCAGAATACAACATCACAGCCAAACTAAAATTATTAGCATTTTTTTTCTTTTCCCGATGTCAGACTTAAATGTTTTATAATATAAAAAGGGGAAAGATTTTTAGAATTTCTTTATGTGCACCTAGAAAAGGACCTAAAAACTGTGAGCAGTTTTTAGGTCAACAACAACACTTTCCAAATTCTGACAATTTATTTTAATACTGTACAATACTGTATATGATATTTACCATTAGACATACACCACTTACAGTATGCACACAAAAATACATTTACACACACACATATGGCATAATAACTGCAGTTTACATACTGAGAGCTCTCTTCCTTCATTATCTTAAGTTGCTGTACTACTGCCTGTGAGAGAGATTTTCATACAAGATTAGGAATCTAACACTTACCTTCTCTGATGCACTTCTCGAATTTCATCATAGTGAAACTTGGAGCACGCATGATGTTCATGACTAGTACCAGGACTAGTAGAAGGTACGATGGGCTCGTGAGACCCCTCAGGTAGTGACGCAATATCCCGGATCTCACGAGATTTGAGCAAAGTGAAACCATCAACAATGTAGAAGTGTTCCCGCCCAAACAGTAACAGGCCCTCTACAGTATCTAAGCCCTGTATTCTTGCACACCGGAACATATGGCTAATCTGAGAAAAACAATAAATATTATTTCCAACAAGTTTTAAAACCAATTTACTATTTTATGCTAAATACCAAATTTTTTCTGACAAATACTGCACAGAAAAAACATATTGCAATGTGTTTGCAATAACATATTATATTGCAATTAAATTTATCCATGTGAAGCAACAATATGGCCCGAGAGGCAAATAGGAAAATTTCCCAACTGTGAAAAAATTAAGAATGAGATAAGATCAATTGTCATTAAACTAGTGCAAGTAAGAAAAATCGCACACAAACATTATCTTCCACAAAATACTTTTTGTTCAAAATGTTGCTCACCTTTTCTCCATAGTCTAATAACCTAAGCAATGTCTGATTATCAGGATTCTGTGTGTCATCTGTGGGTGCATTGGTGTCTTGGCCAACCAAGTCACCAATGTCCAGCCCCTCGTTGTCATCCTCTGTCTCCGAGGCTGTGCGGTTGTTAAGGCCACCATTCTTCAGTAAAGCTCCCTGCAATCCTTCCATATCTACTTCAACACAGAAGTAAAAATAATTACTGTCATAAATCAAACATTCTAAGCAAAGGCCTCTCGGATGTTCCTGTAGCCAACTCCTATATGGTTCTCCCTACAATCATATCACATACAGAATCAGGCTCCTGAAATTACTATCTCCATCATAACAGAAATTCTTCAAAGTGGTTCTGTCATGTTTGTAGGAAAAGGGAGATAGTGGTAAAGAATGAAAGCTGCAATGGCAGCTTTCATTCGTTGCCTTCTACAAGAGTATACTTCTCTGCTTAGTTTTTAGTAGTTTCGACCAAGCAGTAGGCTGTTCAAAGTCTCATGGGTTTGTCCTCTGTAAAAGCCTCATGTTAGTGGGTGTGACCTATGGGTAGGTGTGCCTGGTTTCCTGCCTTCCTCAACATTGTATTGTCCAGAGAGGGTGTTTGTTCCAATATGATTCGCTTCTGTCCTTTTTTATGGGCGATGTTTCATGTCTGTTCATGTGGGCAGTCCACTTAGAAATCCTTATCCTTTCCTAGGAGAGGTTGATAGAGTTGGCTTTTCTTTAGATTATATGAACATAGCTTGAAACTCTAGGTGATAATTGGGGTTAAAATTCCCACTATCTTTCTTCTTTAAGTGATATGACCACTTTAAAGACCCTTGTGCATGTGGTATGAGTCCTGTGAGGACCATATAAGTGTAGGCTATGGAGAGCATCTGAGGGTCGTGCTCAAAAAAGATAATTTTATTATGCTTAGTTCTCTATTTTTTGTAGACTACAACAAGAATTTTTCACTAGCCCATCACAATAATACAGAAAGTTGTACCCCATTTTATTAATAATTAACATTTATATAATTGTTTATATTTAAAATAATTAAACTTACCAATATCACCAACTTCTCTACCAGCAAAGTTATCTGCTTCCAGGGCTGTTGTTTCTTCTTCAATGACAGGCTCCTTCTCACGTACCTCCGAGTCTAACAAACCCTCTGGTCTTCGTCTCTCAGCGTGCTCCTTGCTATCAAAACTGGTAGCTACTTTGTATTTCAATTGTCTCTGCGAAGAGTTGAAATTTTATTTGCCGAACACTAATATTAAACAACCAATACTAACCCAAAATGTTGTATCACTCTTGTCACTAGCACATAAGTATAAGTGACCTAAAATACATATAACAGTTATCTCTTGATTTTTTCCACTTTCAATGAATGGAAAGGAATCTGCTATAAACTGAAAAAGTTATATAGAATACAAAAAATGATAACACATTAAGCTATTAAGTAACATACAGTATATGAAAAGTAACTTACATTTTCTGAATGCTCAGCATGTGGTTTATATGGATAATGTTTGTAGAAATGTCTATTTTGTACCATTTTCTTTCTCATTCGACATGGGCCTTCAGTGGCATCCAAAATCCACTTGTCAAGATGTGAGCCTTTTAAAGGGCCCCAAAGACCTCGTTCTCTTGTTAACTCCCTCTCACAACGTTGCCAAGACTCCCAAACATAGCTTGTCATGTGTTTCTGTTTCTGAAAACGAGAATGTGTATCAAGCGACACAAAAACTCTCGCCTCAATACAAACTATAGTACATACAGAAGATGGACACATATTTCAAAATACAAAATGTATTTATTTATTTAATTATATTTATTATATATGTACTACAGTTTAAGCAACCAAATACTCTCCTAAATGTTTGCAGTAAGTAATAAATTATAATGCCGGAACACATCTTCATTGGGACTATACTGTGACGACTTCTTACAGTTTTTCCCCAAAAAAATGAATCCTCGGCATTAATAGATATATGCATGTACTGTAAATGAATGTACAGTAAATGTGTGTACTGTATTGTAAACAAGGTATCCGTGTACTGACAATTAGGAATGCATGTACAGTGATGTATTTACATATATATACTGTTGTATACAACATGCACAAATAAAGCACGCTCAACTCACTTGCAGATATTGTCTATATTGTAGGTCAACAAGATCTCCAATGATGGATATATGAGTGAAAATTGCCATCTGGACATCCGACATTGGCATATTAACTTTACGCACAACAATGCTGTCCTCTCGGCGACCTTTAGTGCGTGAAGCAAGCCGTGTTAGCCCTCCTGTCACTTTCTGAAGTTTCTATATGAAGGAAAATATAAATGCTCTTATGAAAACTAATAGAAAATCAAACAATAAGATATTCACATGTGTCAAACAATAAGTTATACCTAAGTTATACTCCTGTTGGCCATGAGTTGGTCTTAGACACCTGGCAACATAGTATTGACACTGGGGTACCAGTGCTCAAGCTCTGGGAAGCCACTAAGGAGGACACCTCCAAAAATTACCTTAGACTGCAGAACTATTCTACTAAATATGCAATTATGTTCAAAATGTAAAACTGAATATATAAATACATTAAAACATATACATACATTTGTAACACTCTGGATCTGTGTTGGCATCTCCCATGGAAGTCGATAAGATTGCTTCTTTTCCCCCTCCAGGAATGCCAGCCAGAGTCGATGGGAAGCTTCATTAACCACATCTCTTATACTGGAGAGCTCTGGGGCTTTGCCACTTCCTGCACTAAGTGACACCTTGAACACCTACAACAACATACTCATTAGAAAAAATTCAAATATCGTATTCACAATTTAATAAATAAAACTAAATATGAAGTATGTAATTATGTAAAAGGGCATGGCTTGAAAAACAAACAATGTGTGCCTCTCTGAGGTTGGGAAGCAATCAAGGAAGCCTTGCTCGGAAAATCAAAATGTCATCAAACTAATCATAAAAATTCCTTGTAACAAAAACTCTTAAATAGCTCGGCTATTTGAAACTCTTAAATCATGGTACAAATGACAAAAGTAGTTCACATAACAAAAGCAAAAGATTTGCATGTGACAATTTGAGTACAAAAAATAATCACATGACAGAGAATGGAGCTGTTTAAAGAGTTAATACACATATTTGAGTAACATATCATATTTCATATTACATACCTCCTCAATTGCTGGTTTTTTTGTGATATACAGCTCTTCCCAGACTCTGGTTGCTGCTGTTGTCATCAGGTTATGGCTCTGGGTAGCAGTTGCCTCCACAAAGTCTCGAATATGACTATCTCCGGTATTTCCAACAATCATATTCCCACTTTTACTGTTTGCGTCAACGGCCTCGACACACTCTACTAATACGGGGTTCACGTGCCACATGGATCGATTTGTTGTATCGGTGCTGAGGAGAAAGAAAATTTAGTAATTTATTCATATTCAAATGCTACAAACACATCGGTACACAGTGCTCTTGGCAGCACTAGTACAAATCACCATTACATTGGAATTCATTGATAATAAACACATTAATTTGCCAATCCATTTACTTTGGGTAATGAATTTCTTATTGGACTGTATTATAAAATAATACTCTATCATGAATTTCTGTCAAATCAACTAAGTTTAAAACAAAATAGTACAGTACAATCCCAATTAACTGAACCAACTAGTTTCTCCAGAAGTTTAATTGAAAATTCAATAATTAAAGAAAAGATTATGAGACAACATTGAAGATTGATATAACTGGGTGTGAGGGAGCTTCAGGCATCTCAGTTTCTGTATTTTATTTATATATACAAGAGTTCTTAAATTCTTGAAAAGCCACTAACACGCATAGCATTTCGGGCAGGTCATTAATCTTAGAATTTTCCTTGGAATACGACTGCCAAATCGTCTAACAAACAGGTACCCATTTACTGCCGAGTGAACAGAGGCGTACAGTTAAGGACTGGCGCCTAGTCAATCTTCCCAAGGCCAAGATATGAACCCAGGCCAAAACATTTATTTTGTATTTGTTTTACTTTAGTTAAAATAAAATAGTGTAGATAGCTTGAGATCATTGAATCAGAGAGGATAAACTGGCCGAGAGGCCTTGTTACTGGAGGGATCAATAGAATTATCCAAAACGATTTTAGACTTCTTTGAATTATGTACACGGTAAATATGAAAGAAATACAAAGTTTTCTTACTATTATATTGATAATAAATGTAGAATGCAGATAAACATAATTTAACTTGAAAATAGGCCATTTATGAAATAAGGTCAAAATACTGTAGGTGGTGGGTGATACCATCCTCAACCTATTTTGGACTTTTTCCATCATAAAATGAGCTTTTTTTTTATAGTGGGGATTCCACTATAAAACTGCAGGAACTGCAGCTCCATATTTATCAAACAGTATTTGATATTAATATAAAAACCCTCTCACAAGTTCTGATTTTAATATAAATGCCATCTCAAGTTAAAAAAAATTAAAACTACAGAATTCAACTCGATATCAAACTTACTTGATCTTAATATCAGCTGTGAGCTGCAGCAAACAGTAGGTGAGACAGGCAACAAATTCTGGCTCATGATTTCCAGCACCAAAGACAACAATCCTGCACAACAAGAAAATATTTTTAGATTATAATTTAGGTAAAAGGTATTTAAGCACCTATACCAACAACACAGAAATCAAGATATTACAGATAATTATTAAGAGGGGGATACAATTGTTATAAATAGTCCTGTGTGATATTTACAAAAGACAAAATCATTAATAAGGAGCACTAATGGTGCTGCATCCCTGTACAAATATTAGATGTCTTTAAACATATAATTTTAGTCTATATCACAAGAAGAAGTACTTAATACTGAACCTGTGGGTGGTAAGTTTGTGTAAGCCTTCTAGTATTGACATCTGTGCAGCAATAGAGTCAGAAGGCCGAGACAAGAGGTACAAGATGGTGCGATTAAGGCAATGGTAAATGGACTCCAGATTAATCCCTGAAGCACGACGCTTGGCTTGTGAGATGAGCTTGATGATAAAGTCAAACACCTCGTGAGGGTCTTTGTTAAATACACCTGCGAAAAATTTAAGTTTAACACCTTTAATATTATCTGAAAATTTTCAGTAAACATTCAACCTCCATATCACATAATTACAATATGTAATGTGAATCTACTGGGTATATATACTGATCCTCATATGTGGCCTTGCAGGCCGCTCTAAGCAACAGCCTTCAGGACCAAGCTACACAAGACAAACCTGGCAGGAAGCCTTCACGACCAAGCTACACAAGACAAACCTGGCCCCTGCCAGGTTTGATGACTAGAAGAACTCTCAGAACCCACTCCAGGTATACTCCAGGTATCACCATTATTATCCTATACAAAATGGACACACACAAAAAAAAAAAAAAAAAAGATAAATAATCCAAGGTTGAACAAGAGCTGCTAAGAAGAATTAAAGGCAAACAACTAAAAACTTTAACCAATAGTTGTCAGAAGAGAATAGGTAAATAAACTAGAGTTATAAATATACTGTACTAGAATTAGGAGAGAAGCAGAAAGTCTGATAACTATATAGTGGCAGAGACTAAAGATGAAATCAGAATATGGCACAGACATAATAAGAGTTAGCTGATGGTCAATGATCAAGCAATCTGATTGAGGAAAGGAATGAATGAACTAAAAGGAAGTTTGCAGAAAATAGTATGGTAAGCTTAACATTAAAGAATACCAAGGGAGAGAAAATATGATTGTGAGGTATCATAAAAGCTAATAAACATGTACCAGATCTGGATTCAGGTTAAATTTCTCAATAGTTACTAAAGGAAACCCCAGGAATTTCATCAGTCCCTCAAAGTCATCATCATCTGGGGATCCACAGCCTTCTTAGAAATGTAATAAAATGACCACAACTGAATCACTAAGTGAAGCAGCACAGGGAAGGTAACTCTGCCAAACCAGTCAGCAAATTCTAGACATGCAAAACACTGAATACATGCAGCGTTGCTGATTGGCTGTTGGTTATGAACATGCTTTTGAGAACTTAAAATTTCTTAAAGAGAGCATTACTCTAAGCTATTATATAAACTTAGGCACAGCAGCATATAAAATAACAGGAGGAAAGATTCACATAAAAACAGTTTCTGGCATATAATTGAGAGAACACCAATTAAGGAAAAATGGCAGGCAATATTATACTGTAGTTCACTCATGAACAAAATTAAAAGGAAATATCATGTAGAACTGAAAACTAACCTGTCTACTTCTGACAATTATGAAACTGTTCAGACCTTATGCAAGTTAAAAACATGTTGACTGACATAGGATGCTGGTACTGTACTAGCACATAAGCTTGTTAAAACTTGTCCTTTTTCTTCCCCATCAAGAAAATGTGGATTGTACTTTTGTCACTTCTCATCACAGGTTTCTTAAGTAAAATACACATATCCTACTGTTCTTGCTGTCCTTAACTTTATTACTGACCTGCCCACAGTTTGTCAACAATTCTGGCTGCCAAATAGAAGACATTGGGAGCTATGTGCTGGACAGATCCCCCAGCCACCACTGGAAGAGCAGCTCCTTCCCCAATAAGAATATCGGCATCTAACAGGTGCTCCATTAGAGTACCAAGAAGCTGGGTTTGGAATTCACACACTTGAGATACACTACTGTTTTCTGGAGTAGCCTGAAAATTGCAAAAATTATTACACCTTGAAATTTTAAAGTATATTATATGAGACAATTTTCATGTTAAGCCTTTTCAGTTATATACTGGCAAATTTTATAACAGACTCTCGGAAACTGATTTTAAATTACCAATAATATTTGTCTCTCGTTGTTAACAGCGTGGGAACTAAATATATTGAAGCCACATACATTACAAAACAGACATTACCTCCAATAACAGGTCAATGGTGTGAGGCCCCTTGCTGGCTGGAGGAAGAGATAGGGAATCCACCACAAGATTTCTTAAGAAGTCCATAACCTGTTTCTTCGCAGGGTGGTTCGTCAGGGTCCCGTCAGCCTCACATTTGACAATTACGACATCTGCCCCAGTCATAAACTGAGAAATATAATGTTAAGAGAAACTTACTTAATGGTATTGCTACATCAGCTCAATATGGAGACAAAGAAGATCTCTGACTTTCTGAATACTGTTACAGAAGTGCAAGATAAAAATGGTTGTTGTACCCGAGGCAGTCATGGTAAATTATGGAGGAACAATGCAACGAACAGACGAGATAGTTTGTTCCTCTGGTGATAGTTTATAAATGTCAATTAAATTCTACTCAACAAGTGTAACAATAAATCAGATATTTGTATTTTAGGCTTATTCCCATCTAGTGTACATTACTTAATTAAAAGTTACACATGTACAGTAGCAAGTCTATTGCAAAAGTGGCCCCCACCAATCCTTACCTTAAACCAAAAAGTTAATTGTGGGCAGAAGCAGAGATATCTGGAACACTGAGATGCATAAATGCTCTAGGTGAAATAGACATGAGGTGTTGCCTAATGCTAGATCTCACTCGTATGCTTAGGTAAGGTAGGCAAGCACCAAAGCATTAAATCCTCTTATCATTTAGGGTAGAGCATGACAAAGACACTCGACACACGTGTGCCAAGCATGCACGACTTACCCTTTCATCCTCGGGCGAGGCGAGAGACTGAGGCTCCGATGTACCAGTGTAGGGAAAGAGAGTTGAAGCAAGAGCTGCCAACACATCCCCGGAGAGAAATACTGGCAAGAAGTCCCCATTTTGCTGGTACAGGAACCGTAAGAACTGGATGAGAGTGACTGGGTAGCTCTGCAGCCATTCAGGCAATTCCTTTCTGTAAAGTATTATTACCAATTGGTTACAATATTGTATGTTTGAGCGTATGTACTTCAGATATACCTGAAGTACATATGTAGCAAGAACACATTACTGGCAAAACAAAGAAGACTGTAAAGAAAGAATATGCCAACACACACTCTTGAAATACCATGTACAGTAATTAATTGGTTGAAATTACCAATATGTAATGATGGACCACCAAAAAGTTCACTTTTTGTACTTTTAATTTTAAAGTCTGGAAAAAATAAAATTAAAAACCAAACTTAAACATTCCTAGGCCTAGTATAGCACACATTTGTACTATATTAGACCAATGACAGCATGCATTAGGCCTAGGATTGCTAGGAGGTCTAATATTTATGATGCCATTAAAAAGTTTCCCCATTTGTCCAAATTCAATAATACAAAAGCCAAAATTTTGCTGGTCCTTCATTACATACAATAATTATTTAGTCAAAAGTACCAGTAAATATTTTCTCTTTAGGAGGATGGACTGGGATGTACGACTTGTTAATTAAGGGACAGCATATTTACAAAGTAAACCAACTGCTAAATGCAAGAGATGACTGAAAAAGCAAACAAAACTTGATCAAAGATAGTTGATTGATGAGAATAAATGGGACTGGTAAAGTTATATGGAACCACATTTAAACAATAATATTTACTATTGAAACAGTTCAAATTTAGTTTTACCAAGCAGGAAGTAAATAATTTAGATTAATCCACAATATTGTTGTGGGCTGACAATCATGCATGATGACATCACTGATACAGTTGTCAACAGGCCATTACGATGCATCAATAAACATTCATTTCATATTTATAACTATTTGAAATTATATATAATACAGTTGTCAGATGAGAGCTATGCTCATGATGTCCAGTCTTTCTTGTTTATTTCAAGACAGTACTGTATATAGATATACACGCCCCGTTATTTTAACACAAATATCAACCTCCTCCAGTTTATTCTTGCCATCAATCACACTACAGTATTGGTAAAGAAGTATTATACAGTACTTCATATTAACCATTCTACACTTTTTCTCTGGTATTTAAACAACCATACATGTCGTATACCTGTCGATGATTCTTAAGATCAACGTCCCTACAGCTGGCTGATGGTCTGAACCTTAGATCAGAAACTGCAGGCGTTTGTAATTTCATGCAGAAATTACAAACTGGGTTACTTAGAAAATGCATACACAAATGTTTAAATTCAGCATACTTAATATAAATGTAACACACTGAAAAAAAAATATAACAATAAACCTACGTGCTTTTTGACGAGGATGTGGTGATATATTCTCTGTGGAGGAAATGAACAAAAACTTTTTAAATGAGAACAAAAAATATTAAACTGAATAAAAAAGAGGCTAAAAACATGACAACATTCATGAAGTTATTAGTAAAACAAATACAACAGCATTAGACAAATTACTTCAAATACTTTTGGGTTAAGAAACAAGAACAGTTATATGGAGCTCAATAATCTAGCACTAGAATAACTAGAATAATTAATGTTAATCTAATCTACAGCACAGAACTCAAGACATCAACACATTTGTACAGTAATAATTAAAACAAATATAATATAATATGACTAACATAAGAAACACAAAATGTGATATCACAATTAAAAGAGAATAAAGGTTATGAAAGAATTGTAAACTTAAAATGAATGCAGGGATCAAGCTCCAACTTGTGGAAGTTGGAATCTTTAGACCATTAACTCCCTCATGTAGTGCCTCATCAACCTTGCATTGATTTCGGGGATCAACGTCCCCACAGCCCTGTCTCTAACCAGGCCTCCTACACAACACAATAGGTTTTTTCATAGATATTTAAACTTGAGTATGAGTTTTCCTCCAACATGCCCTACACTAGTGTATGCCAGTCATCGCTTCTAGGCTTAGGATATGTTTCTTTTATCTCTCTAGCTAATTTGAGTGTTCAGTGTTTTATTTGTCCCACCATCCTAGTTCCACTATGGCACGTAATAAAGTTCTTGTTGTCGGGGACACGAAGCTTGTACTTAGGCTTATCAAGGTCACCTTAAGTTAACATCAGTTCTATCCTGCCTGGGGATCAAACCCAGGAATCTCATTTGTGAGTTGACAGTGTAGAGCACTGTAGCAAAGGAGCTACATATGCATGTAGCTAGACGAAAATGGCGACATGCTTGGTAACCTGGCCACATGACGATTGCGAGGGGTGTATCTTGGTGGACTCTCAGCAGCATGGATCAATGGGTCAACAGCACTTCTCAAGGTAGCTGTTGAAGTGTGTGACTGGATAGTTCTTAACCATCCTCAATATGTGTTGATTTTACACCTATCAACTATGAGTACAGTACTGTACTATCTAAGAGGTTGTAAACACATGGACTAGACTTAAATGAAGCTGCCATAGAGGATCTAACAAAATAGCTGGTGAATATTAACACCAGTAGTGAGGGCAGATACTACCAATATAATATGTACATTATACAAGTCATGGAATAAATGACTTTCAAAACCACAGGCAACAAATTGCATCTCTCAAATTAATCCTTTATAAAGCATGCCAATTAACACCTGTAGCAATTACATACAGATGTCATACTGCATATCAGCCATAGTTGTATTTACAATCATAACAAACCAGATACAGCCTCACCATTACCTGATATTGTCTTTATATGTGGATGTAATATTACCAAAATAGCAACCTTAAATACAATATTTGTTATGCTATGGTAATACAAGTCAACAATTAATTGTTGACTTGAATTATTTATTATAATAAATATATTTAACATTAAAAACTTTTATAAACCAATTTTGCTTTATTTTCACTTTCAAAATACTTTATATTCTTTCATTAAAAACTTTTGTACAGGACATGAGCTCATAGATAACAATGACAAAAACCATGCTACCATGCTAAGCATACAAGAAATGGACAAACCCTTTCTCCTCTTGGTTGAGCATTGCCCGCACCATAGCAAGAATGGCAATGGCTGCCTCTGGACACAAAGATACGCGGCCAGAAATCGTCGTTGCACACTGGCTGGCTGGTACACCGAATACAAAGGTCCAAATGCTATCAAGGTCCAACTGAAAATACACACACAAATATACACACATAAAATAAATATTGATCCCCATTAATCTACTTTGCAGGGATGGACAGTATGAAAAGTAGAGAAAAAAATTTGATATCAGATCTATGTATGTACTGGCCAAGGATGGAAGAACTATCGAATGGTGTGATAAAAGATACAGATACAGTATTGTTAAGCTAAAAGAAGATAAGACTACACAAATAAAACCAAATATTAGAAAAAGAGAGTAAGAAATGCAAAATAGCTGGAAAAACGTAACTAGTTATGCAGCAAAGATGTGGTGAATGGAGTAAGGAAATAATTTGTTGAGTCAATATTGAATTTAGTTATGTATGGCAGGTGACAAGAGCACCTGAAATTTAGATAAAGGTTGTGAATGTCCCTAATATATATAGCAACAGGGAATAGAACTGTATGCAAGAGTTATACAGTACAGTAAGAAGCCTTCTTAGCATACAGCAGACACCAACTAGTGCACTGGATCCAAAGCTAACTAACCGCTGAGTACACGGTTGCTAAAATTTATACCTCGGTACTGTAGTTACTGGCATAATATCTTCAAGACCACAATTTGCTGTCCAGAACATATACATAACTCTAGAGAACAAGGGCCACAGCAAGCGTCCTGCACAAGCCGAGTCACGTGAACAGTCCGCACTTGCTGCTAGTTACATGCACATGTTATGGTGGATGCTCCAAATCTTGCGTGCATCATGCATAATCCTTGCCTCACTGTAATTCTGAAGCCTATCAATATTTCTACACCACCATCACCTAGATGAGTAAGAACCAGTCTCAGTCTAGTATCACTGGAATTAACAGAGAATACCAAAATTTGAAGAGAAGTTCATAGTTTGTTATGGCTGTGGAACCTTTATACTGGATGGTTTTCTACACTGGCAACAAGGAGTGAAAGCCTTATAAGTTTGCAATATACAACAGTAAATCCTCAACTATTACACAGCCAGTTACCATAAGATAAAAGCCAAAGCAGAACAGCTTAATAAGCTTTTTAAGTACTGTAATAATGTTTGTTTATATTAACCATCATTACTGCAATGAATATTTTTGTAACATTTAAGTTTTAGTGAATTTTATGATAAATTGTTGCTTTATTATATAATTTATTTATATGGGAGCAGTATTACCTTATGAGAAGCAGTATTATAAGAGAAACATAGTTTGGTTCCTGGTGGCATTTTGTTCTTTTTGAATACTACGCAAATACACAAGTTGTATTTTATTCTATTAGGTTAAGTAGGGTTTTACCTTATCGGCTCCTTTGCTACCTGGCGTCCTGGGAGTAGCACCATCCTGGAGGGGTGGGGGTGGGGGGTTAACACTTAAAATGTAATCTCTACTTTTCTTGTAAATGACATTAGGTTTTTATGTAGGTGTCAGAGGGGAAGAAAATTGTAAATATATGTGTATGTTAAATTGTATACTCACCTAATTATGTATGTGGGGAAGACATTCTATGGCACCCAGCCCAGACATCTGAAAAGAAAGAATCGACGACGTTTTGGTCCAAACTGGACCATTACACAACTTGATAATGGTCCAGGACGGACCAAAACGTAATCGGTTCTTCATATTCAGATGTGCTGGTCGAGTGTCAGCTCTTCAATCACATTATTGTGACTCATCATCTGCAAGAGGCTTTATGCTCCAACTCTTTGGTCCTCCCTCTTAGCCATTAACCAACTGGTGTGGTGTCTCCCTAGCCCCTAAGAGTTTGCCTTTTTATATCTGCATCTATCTATGGATTCTGCTTCTACCTCTTTGACTACATCTTGCCAACTGTATTTTTCCTTCCCATCTTCTCCCCAATGGGAGAATCCTTAATTTATTTCACCCACTCTCCTACTTGTTATTGGGGGCATGAGTAAGTGAAGTACAGGTGGATGGGGACATGAGTATGTGAAGTGCAGGTGGATGATGGGCATAAGTAAGTGAAGTGCAGGTGGATGGGGGCATAAGTAAGTGAAGTGCAGGTGGATGGGTGCATGGAATAAATGAAATACAGGCGGGTGGGAATAAGTTACTCCTTTAAATCCCCATTCACCTATGTCTTATTCTTTACTCTCCTTTTAAGATCAATGACTTCTCTCTCCTGAGCCAGAATTCATCAAATACTTAATTCCTTGGTGATGATATTTGCTCAATTACTACAGCATACTTTGTAGTTATTTAAATAGTTTAAGAGGCCAGAAGCACTATGAGATTGTTTATAACAATAATAATCATGGGTTGCAAACACACTCACAGCATTTCCAAAAATCAAACACTGTATAATAAATCAAAAGTTGCCATTACTGAGGAAAGATGCACAGGTCTCATTAGTGGTGATTTACGTGCCCGATGACTGCATCGGGTTTTCAGCCTTCCCATTCTATTCAGCCTCCTTTTTAATTTTCTCTTTTAGTACTCTCTTACTGGGTTCACGGTTGTATCTCTCCCTTTGCTCTCATGTATATCAATGTATCTCAATGTAACTCAGATGGATTTTCTTAGCCATTTTCTTAGCCATTTCCTGCCCGAAACGCTGCGGGTACTAGTGGCTTTACAAGAAGGTAATTACTATGCTGTGTATCCTCACAATCCCAATGTACCTTCTTGTATATATATATATAAATAAATAAATAAATAAAATAAATAAATAAATCTCTTGTCTGTTTGCTAAAGAGTAATAACTTGTCATGTCTTGTCATCTTCATACAATACTTTCTTATCCTAAAGTACTCTACAAGGGACCTTTCTAATTCTGGAATGCATTTTGTAGCACATCTCTGCATTCTTTCTAATTTGGTGATATAATTCTAAACACTACAACAGTCCAATGAAATAGTTCAGCACCATCCATAACATTTTCCTATTTGGTCTGATGAAGCATTCTCATCCACTCTCAAGCTTAGAAAACTTTTTTCATACTCATTCTTTTTTGCATCTCATGTTGATGCAACTCATTCAAATTCCATATGCCAAACAAAGGTAGAGCTTATGACAAACACTGTGGCCACCACGTAGCCACTCACGGCATGCATTTGGTAGTTATGTTACCATACCCACACATTCATAACAAAATAGGAATTTTTTGTAGTTTTAAGTGGTACTATACTATACTAAAATTTTGTGCTGTAACTATTTGCAATAGTGTACATGAAGGCATAATGGAGCGGAAAAGCCAAAAATGTATCGGAACAATGGCAAAGGGTGTAAACGGAATGAATGTCCAAGAATGCCTTCATTCTGAGAAATGTTTCCATGCTTTCAATTAAAGTTTGGGACCACACAAAATGAGTGCTTTTACAGAAAATTAGTGAATACTCTCATTATAAAAATATTGGCTGAATGATAATACCCAATTACAGTACATAATACAACAAAAATAATTCCCTGGTGGTTAATCCGTGTCGCAGGTGTGTGGTATGAATAGAGTAGTTTGTCTGGTAGCTGTCTTGCGTGAGCTGAAGAGAACTACTTAAGGAGGAACCCAGAAAAACAAGAGCTATGAGGAGAGGCTGGAATAGATAAATATGCCAAAACAAGCAGACACAAGAAAATGAGGTGATATTATTAAGTAAAAATCTGTGACAAATTGACAAATCATACAAGGAAGACTTACAAATCCACAATATAAAAAACAAGAGGTCATAAATCAAAACTTAGAAAACAAACATGACAAAATAATGTATGAGAATTTTCTTTTGCAAACAGAGCAACAGATGGATGGAATAAATTAAATGAGAGGGAGGTGTATGCCAAAATCATTGAAAGCTTCAAAACTTCATATAATAAAGATTATAGGGAAGGCAGTAGGAGACGAGTGTTGCTCGCATCTTGTACCTCCACACAGGTACACACAAAAGCCTTGGAAGATACAGAAAAACAAACTGAAGTTCCTAACCCAAAATGTTTTCCCCAGAACATTGTCTGCCAATTAATTTACAACCAGATTCCGAATTGCTGCTGAGTGCTGAAGGGCAAATAAGGTAGAAAAGCACTGCCAAGGATCCAAACCCTGGACCTCTTGAGAGCAAGGCAAGTTTGTTAACAAAACTACAGGCGTTCTTGTATGTTACAAAATAAAGTGAGATAATAAATAGTACACAGGACTGTAAATGGAAGAGATTAAAGAGATTTAAATATCTGGGGCCAGATTCACGAAGCAATTATGGAAGCACTTACGAACCTGTACATCTTTTCTCAATCTATGGCGGCTTTGTTTACAATTATTAAACAGGTAATGAGCTCCGAAACACCTGAAGGCTGTTTATAACAACAACAACAGTTGACTGGGAAGTTTCCATGCTTGTAAATTGTTTAATAAATGTAACCAAAGCCGTCAAGGATTGAGGAAAGATGTACACATTCGTAAGTTTTTGCGTAACTGTTTCGCGAATCTGGCCCCAGGGTTCTAAAGACCTCCTATAGAAATTTGGTATAATGTAAGGGGAAATAAATAACAAAGTAAAGAGGCAAAATGCAACTCAATCTGTGGCAAAGCGTGTAACCAAGAGATTACTCGGGTGAATAAAGAATAGCATGACAGCTTGTGACTGAAACATATAAGGAAAAAATATACACCTCTCAAATTTAGGCTGTTAATGTGAACTATTTAAGAAAAGTACGAGGCATCCGTAAAGAGAAAGGCAAGAAATAAGGGACTACAGTACAGTATAACATATAATATACCGATAGCAAAAGATATTAGATATGAAGTCACACATTGACTAAGATGAATATTTCTTGATACTGTAGTTAAAGGCAATGATGAATGAAAGTTTAGCAACAAGAATATAAAGGAATGTAATAAAGAGGAGAGAATGCTGTGTAGACAACCTTAATACAGTAGAGTAAAGAGAAACAATATAGGACTGACTGAATTAATCTCCTTTACTACACAACATATAGGAAATTTAAACATAGATATTAATCTACAACTGTACATATACGTATTATTCACAGCAGTGAATTTTCAAAGTTTAAAATAAATAAGTATATGATTTATGAAACATTTGCATATATAGAGATATACTTAGAAATGTGTAAGACAAATCCAATGCAGAAGTTCTCTGCATTTGAAAACATTCTGCTTTCAAGATAACTAATGATTTTCAAAGTTCTTGGTAACCAAATACTGTATCCCAAACCTTGTCTATCTTCCTGAAGTCTTGTTCTAACCTATCACGAAATAAACAAAGCTAATATAAGTTCAAAGCTCTCAATTTAAAAATAAACCAATAAACAATTAAATGCAAAAAGACTTCAAGTATATTATACTGTATTAGGATTTGCAATTTTTTTAATAAACACACTAAAAATATTTGTATACTGACCTTAGTGTTGTTTTGAACATTTTTGACTGGTTGTCCAAGAAGCAAGGCCAAGAGCAGATAATATACTTGTGGGATATGAATATGGCGCGGGACCAGCCAAGTAAGAACTTGAAATCCCGGCACATGCCAAGCTTCCTCACGAATCTCGCTCAATGAACGCACAACTGTTCCCACAGAATATCCTGAAACAAAATATAATAAATGTAAATTATGCTGTATAACTAAGTGAAAAATGAGAACTGTTTCCACACTAAAACCTACACCATATTTAAAGCCAACTTCTATGAAAATCATTTTGAGGCAATAGAGGGACTTGAACTCACGACCTGGTGATTCCCAGACGACTGCCTTAATTGCTTGGCCACAGTGGTATAAAAGTTGACCAAACCAGAACTCTGCCGAGTTCTGGTTTGGAGGCCCCAAACTACCCAGAGGACTCAGGAGTTCTAGATTGGTCAACTTTTGTACCACAGTGGCCGAGCAGTTAAGGCAGGCATGTGGGAATCACCAGGTCGCGAGTTCAAGTCCCTCCATTGCCTCAAAATGATTTTCATTCATATATCATGCCATTGTGGTTTCAATGTGACCAAATTCTATGTTTTGTTTTCATTTTGAGTTGGCAAGGTTGTCATTCACTCAAGTATGGCTACCTTTTGAAAATGAGTTTTGAGACTGCGGATGTGAGAAATGAGCTAGATGTGGTTAAATTTGTTTGCAGACCTGTTCACTTGGTAGTTGTGTATTATATTATAGGTTGAAATTCAAATTTTGCTAAGTGAAATTTGCCTACTGGGTGTGGGAAATGCATCCTGGAGGCATTTGCAATAAACTGGGTTTGGTCCCATGCAGTTTGTTGAATGGAGGTTGTACTATACATAAAGGAGTGGGACACAGTAATAATAATAATGATGAGCAAGAAAAATATATGTATGACAGTAATGAAGATTAAAGGAAACATTATTTTGAATAGTCTGCTTTACTACAATTAACTGACTCAAGCAGCTAGAAGAAAAAAATGTGTATACAAAGTATACACAAGCATAATACATACCAAGTATACACAAGCATAATACACACCGAGAAAGTATACACAGATATAGTACATACCGAGTACTTGTCCAAACTTTGTGTTGGTAACCTGCTGGGCATCAGTCATCCAGCCTCCATTCTGAGAAGCATCTCTAAACTTCTGCAAAATCCCGGAATTAGAGAGCAATGCCACAAGCATGCGCAGGGCAATGAGAACGGTAGAGGGATGAAGATGACCCTGAGTGAACAGCAGCACCCAGTCCAGACCCAAAACTTTAACAACCTCCTCACAAAACCTGCAAGAAACAATAACATACATACAGCACATACATACAGCAAGAACTGACATCAAAAGTTAAACAATCTGTAGCTCTTCACCATAACTTTCCCAATGGCTATCACTACTGCACATTTGCACCAGCTACTGATCATAGACAGAGACAGACAGAGATTTGCTCTCTGTCTCATGACTACAACAGGTATTTGCTCTTCTTGGCCTTCTGCTTCCCCATATTTACCCTCACACATACACACTGCTATTTAACTCTTGCCTATATATAAATATTGTCTTAGATCTTACCTTTCAAGGTTTTTTATGAGGCTGAAGAAATTAAAATTAGATGCCAAAAGCATTTTAAGAATATGGAAGATGGAACTGGTGAAGGTGGTGGTGGTAGTGATAGCTGGAGGAACCAGAGTTGGCTGGTAGTGTTACACAAACTCCATCTGTGCTCCCCACAACTAAACAAACACAATAAGGTCATAATATACAGCAAGTACATAACAAAACAACCCACACTGGCTATAAGATGCTAATAGATAACAACAAATATATTAACTTATTGAAGTAAAATATCAAGATACTGTATAAAAATAGAAATTGAAATCGAATTGAAATTGAAATACTTTATTCGCAACTGTTTGCCTTGTACATTGATATTTGTGTTACTTTACATAAATTAAATGTAAATTATTCGCCTAAGAGATATATATTATATAACATAAATATTATAGTGTGTATAGACATGAAATGTTTAAATCAGTATGTAGATTACTACAAAGGTGCATCACTACAGCCTGTTTATATGAAGGGCTGGATGAAAGGATGCAGAGCTGCCGATGGATGAACATGGACAATGTCTGGCTTCACATGGAAGTCTACTACCATGGGGTCATGTTAAGCTTGCTAAAAACACTTCTGTAATTGTTGGTAATGATTTATCAAATCTCGACTGGCATGCTGAAGAGGATTACTATTACAAATTAGAGAAATAGTAACAAAATTCCTTTAATTCACAGAATTTCCAATTTCACTCAAAAAATTAAATAATTACCAATATATACAAAAGACCACCACTGTTGAGTTCCATTTAAGGAAACTTAACCACAACTACTACCAAATCTTTAATTGCAAATACAATGCATACATTTCCAGTGGCAATTATTATTATTTACAATTACAGTACTGTAATAAACTCACCCAAGATGTATAGTGTTCTTGTTTGAGTTGTAGAGAAGGGTATGAACAATCTCCAGGCACTTGTTTCTGAGAAGAATGTTCCTCACTGTCACACTGAAACACTCTCCATTATCCACACTTCTCTCCTCTCCATACATTCTCAGATCTATTTGTTTTTCACAAATAGTGAGAATTGGAAGTGTTGACACAATGAACTGTCCAAAGCTGAAAAGTTTGTTATTTAGTCATCAAGCTCATCAAAAATGAAAACAAAATTTACTACTGTGGCTTCATAAAAAATTATTAACATTTTCCACTGAAATTCTTCAGGAGCTAGCTAGCTTATTCCATTATTAGACACCCACAAACTTGAAACTGAAGGAATTGATGAGTTTCAGTACGTCCTGGAGTATTATCAAGTCAATGTGATAACTGTTCAGAACAAACCAACACATCATCAATTATTTTAGTTTCAGATTTGTTGGTTGGATGTCTAATTTTCAGCCATGTACCAATAACACCTCTCCTCCCCCCCCCCTCTCCTCACCATTTTCCATACGCCAACAAGAGTCCTCAATAAAGGTAAGATATACTGTACTGTAGTCCAAAATATGAGTAGTTGTATATATAAACTGTATTATGAAGTTAATATTTTTGGGAGTGTGGAACAGATTAATTCAAATTACAGTAATTCCTTTGGGAAAATTTGTTTCGATTTATGAATTTTCAGTTGACAAACCATCTCTGGGAATGGATTAAATTCATAAAAAACAAAGGTACCACTGTACAGTAGAAAATAGTTATTTTATATCTTAGCTGTACTGTACTTCCTTATCTATATGATATCCAGCAGACCCTGATAGGAACGAACCTATATAAATAACAATAGAGTAACAAACTACTATACACATACCATAACAAATCTTGTGGGCGAGGATTATTGGCCAATAATGTTGTGAGAAGTGTAAAAATGACATTCGTGGTTTGAGAACTTAGAGATGACACGTTGTTGGTGGCAGCAAGAGCAGCAGCTGTGGCAGTGTTGTTGTTATTGCACGTGTACGAGTTGCTCGACGTTGAACTGTTGGAGGGTGAAGAGGAAGCAATTTCTTTGCCTTGTGACTGCTCCCATAACAGGTGCAATAGCTTTTGCACCAATCGTAAAGACCTGCAAGGAAACAAAGTTCTGTATTCATTTGAATCTTAAAATCTATGAGGTCAACTTTATTGGACAATACCATTAGGCACCCAGCCCACAAATCTGAATATGATGAATTGACAATATTTTGGTCCATCCTGGACCATTATCAAGTTGT